AATCTAGTCTCTTCCCTTGTTAGGTTGTCATCCTTTGAGAGTCAAGACCCCCGCCAGCCTCAAGCTCTGAGGCCATTTCCCCTAGGTTTCTGAGACTCTGCATGAAGCCCATTAGGAAGGGAAGGGCCATTCTCCCGGGGTCTACACTGCATTGGACAAGTAATATTCTTGCATTTCTCCCCACAGACCTCAGCCGCTTGCTTGTTCCCATGTGAGTGTACAGCCTATCTTTTTGGGGTCTGGACTTTTCTGAATTGGGAAGGCAGGCTAGGAAGGTACAGAACCCTCTGCCACTCCTCTCTCCCTTGCCCACCGCAGGGAGCACAGGCAGCATCAGAGGAGATCCAGGGAAAGCACTGAGGCACCAGCAGGTAGGCAGCGTCTGTGCTAATGGCTACACAGAGACCAGTGCTGGGTTCTGTGCTGTCCCAAGAGCGGCCTCAGCACCCCTGCTTGCTCTTCTCTGCCCACCTGTGCCCTTTCTAGGCACTGAAACAGCAACTACCACCTCAAGTTCAGACCCTGTGCAAGAACCCACTGAGGCGCCAGTGAAAGTCACCCTCACGGTGACCGCAACACCAGGAGTTCAATGACGGTGCAAACAGGCTGAGGGCAGGCAAAGAGGGTGGAAGGTTCCCATCAGACTGTGGTCTTAAAAGCAAGGAGGCAACTCTCCCTTCCCCATCCAACACGCAGATACCAACTACCTCCCATTCAATATCCCGACTGCGGAAGTGGATGTGTCCCAGCTGCAGCATCTCACGTGATAAAAGTGACCCTGAGCCGGCTTGTGGCAGAGAGAGGACACTACACAACTGAAGAAAACACGGAAGGCATCTGAAAGTAGCTGAATATGGTACAGGGAATGTCCCTGGTGCCAGGACACTAAGAGACAGCTCTAAGCTCTTTCGAGAAGAGGGATGAGGGAGGCGCTGGATTGAGCAATTCCTAGCACAATTCTCTCTATGTCTTGCAGCATCATTTCAATTCCAAACTTCTGAGTTGGTTGCTTGGACCTTGTTTTACTGGCAGGAAGAACCAGGTGCCTAGATATGTGTTTCTTTGCTGAAACGCAGCTTAGGGACACCTCTGACCCAGCAGTGGTCAGACTTCTGGAATCTGCGCCAGCAGAGTGTTCCGCAACACTCCAGCCACCAGGCCTGGGGGAGCTGGCTGACAGAAAGTGAGGGTTGTTCCAAAGTCACACTCTGCTAGCTGCCAGCATGAGTCACTGGCTCCGAGTGTGCGTGTGCGTGTGTGATCTGGGTGAAACACGAGCGAGTGCTTGTTTGGCTGACTGGAAGAATCGGGACTCAGAGCTGCCTCCGCAGAGGATTCGGATGAGAAGAAAAGAGCAGCAAAGCCAAGGCTGATCTGCCAGTAACAAGGAAAGTGGCGCCTGACGGGAGACAGAAAACTGGGAGAAACTTCAGTTTCTTTGGTTCTCACACACTTCGAGTTTATTAGAAAGGGTTTCAGCTTTCCTCACAGCTCTCAGGACTGCATCTAAGAGTAAAAAATAGTTTATTTAAGTATGGGAAATGAAGTACAAAATGGCGGCCACACCCGATGGGGAGGGTTCTGTTGTTTTTCTGGTCAGGGAAGATGAACCACTTCCACTATTCAAAGCGGTGAAGCAAGTTTATTTGGAGGTGCTGCATCCATCCTGGAGTTACACTCCAAGGATCCTGAGGTTGCAGTAACAGACACCCCAAGGAAGAAGGGCTTCCTCTCACTTCGCTTTTCCCCATCCACCTGTCTACCCGGTGCTATCTTCCCTAGCAGACAGCTGCCCATGATTCTGCTCCCTCCCAATCTCGATAGGACAAGTGAGAGGTGGCTGGGCCCTTGGGTGTTCACAGGGGAGTTGCAGAGCAACAAGGTGGAGATTCTGAAAAGTCTCCAAACAGGACATTACATAACCTAGAAACAAGCCACAGGGCTACTTTGTGCACACACAAGTGCACGAGTACCCCTCTTCACAGGGCTACTGTGTGTGAAAGCAGCATTCTCTTTTAATATAAAATCATATCAACAAAATAAAACCTGTCAAAACTACATCACTTAAAGTATGTACAATTTCAAACATAATATCACAACTTTAAGGAAAATAAAACATACTTTTCAATATAGTACAAAATGTGCATCTCACAGGCAAGGCTGTAAGAGCGAGCAATACAGGTAAAGACAATTCCGAACAGTTTCTGGGCAGCACTGAAGCTGGCGGAGAGAAGTGATAGGATCAGCCTGGTACGATGCCTTGGTCTTCAGAGATTCAGTCTATACAAAGCGAATCCAGCAAACCACTTGATGATGAGATCACACCAACAGTTTCAATAATGCAATTAACCCGTACCCTGTACAGTACCTATCCCCAGAGTCAGCACGTAACTGAAGAACACAACCAGGGAGCGGCGACATGATTCACTAGGACTCGAGTAAGTTTAATGCTAAACAGTCACCCAAAACATGAAGAGGACCTACCAACTTCATAGTCATCAGGTCAGTTGAAGGTCAAACCTCCATGGGGGAAGGGAGAGGGACAGGGTAGGAGTGGGGTGAGGGCTAGGGCGGGATGTCAATGAGAGACTCCTGAAGATGGAGTACTTGGCTCTGCTCTGCCAGTTTGGGATGAGTCTGGACAGGGGGAAGCCCCACTAGCTGCAGCGGGAGACTTGCAGAGGAAGAGCGCAGTAGGGATCCAACAGCCCACGTTCTGGACTGGTCCCACAGAGAGTGTAACACCTCCAGAGAGCAGGGAAATGGGAACACGGGTGATGGACCGGGGAAATGGCTCCAGTGCAGCCTCTTGTGTACGCGTGAGCCGGGAATTTCATGCCTGCTCTGCTTGCTGTAGGGGTTGGATAACACTAACAAACGGAGTCTAAAACACAGTAGTTACCCCACAAATGTATGCCACCCCCTTATTTTCCTATGGCCTCTTAATTCCTGGGGGAAGCGACACTTGCTAGGACCACTTTTGGTGACTGTGCAGGGCATGAAAGTTCAGAGAAACTCACACTGAGGAGAATTCAAACTCCTAAATATAAAAGCAATTATATAGATTTATATTTATATTTATATATCTCAATATATAAAGCCATTTTTATAAATAAAATACAATAAAACGGATAACACTTAAAACAGCGTTACTATCATAAATAAAGCAGTCCACAATGAGATTGCCCTAAAGGTAAAGTCATTTTCTCTTCATCATGGGCAAGCCCCATGTCAAATTCAATCTTTAAAAGCAGTTTCTGACCTAAAGCTCAAGCTTTATGAGTCACAACAAACTGACCGCCCACAGACATCTGCTTCCTGCTTTCCTAAACCCCCACTCCGAGATGAGACAGCTTTGTTCTAACTAGACTGGCAAAACACACAGTATGTCTCTATGTCACATGTACTAGGACTTTGTCCTTTGCTAGTCACAGATGTAAGGGCTGCAGTTAACTGTCTCCAAAACTAACTACAGATCTCGTTCGCTACAGACATGAACTCCGAGATCATAGAACTTGCTTCTCCAGCAGCCCCACTACCCAGCTATGGAATTCCAGTCGCTGCATTCTACCGGGAGTAACTTGCATAGCGCCCTTGCTGAAACAGCACATACCTACTAACAGCTCTGTTTATAAAAGATACAAATGTGTGAAAGGGAACATTGGCACATCTACACAGAGTTGATTAGTACAGAATCTGATTATCTTCCACTGCGATTTGTGGGCAACTAGAACAAAATGTATCCTGCAATTGTTGGATTCCACAAAGGAGAATAATTTTCTGTCGTTCCCCCTCCCCCCACCCCAAGGGATACACCATTCAAAAACAGAGCAGTGATCCATCAGGGCCTGTTTGAGCTATGAAATGCATTTGTGGTGCCTGGGGTTTCTGTTCTACACATGGAGAAAAGCCTTCCAAAGATAGCTGCAATGTTCTTGCCACTCAGAAAACAGTAACTGTGATGCAGAGACTCTGTGGACCAAAGACTGAGTTCACAATGATGGCAGCCAGAAAAATGTCAGAAAACGCCCCTAAACCTTTTCCTCAAGCTTAGCCTTCCCTGCCATCTGCTATAGTTTGGCTCCATTTCCCAAGGCCTGGTGCCCAGGGTGGCATGTTTAGGAGGTGGTAGAGCTTGAACAGGGGACAAGTGCAAGGGCTCCAGATCTAGAGGCATGCTCTTGGAGGGGGTGTGTACACTCTGCTCCTCTTCCCTTTCTCCCCATGCCTCAGGCTTATGGTATAAACTATCTTGCTCCCCCATGCATGCCCATCACAATGTGCTTCCTCAGCACTGGCCCAGAGCCACAGGTCCATTCAATCACAAACTGGAACTTCTGAGACTGTGAGCCAAGAGAACCTTTTCCTGAGTAAGATAATCATCTCAGGTAACTTGCCATAGTGGCAGAAGGCTGACCCACCATGCTTGCTGCTATCATCCAAGACACTGTGCATGCTGGAAGTGACAGAACGGACCGTCTTCAAGTGGTGAGGCACTACGAGCACTACGGAATACAGAGCTCACTTAGGTCCCTTCTTCCTGAGGCACGTGGCAGCTTTCTTTTCAAGCTATCCCTTTACAAGCCTGATTTTGCACACACCCTTGCAAACATGGCGCCCAATCTGTAAGCTGACATGATTAAAGCGGTGGACCACGAAGGCACTCATTTTCCTTCTGAACTTGGTTCCCCTTCTACACAATCCAACAATCCAACCAGGCCCTACATGCTTCTCTGTTCATAACACTGGCTAATTTGCTACCCAGAAGGTTGATCATTTCTTGTACCCAGGTAGAGAGAGAAACTAAGTCAGTATTAGTACTTTTCAGGAGGGCAGCCATAAAATTTGTCAGTTGGGTTTGCTATTATAAATATAAGATCACAACTGTGGTTGATTTTAAAAGTTCTCTTTCGAGACCAGCCTGGTCTACAAGAGCTAGTTCCAGGACAGGCTCCAAAACCACAGAGAAACCCTGTTTCGAAAAACCAAAAAAAAAAAAAAAAAAAAAAAAAAAAAAAGTTCTCTGAAAGTCTGGTAACATGGGATAAGTGACAGTTTTCTATCTGGGGGTGACAATGGCAAACTTCAAATGGCTTGGGCAATCCTCCTCCCCACAACTGAATAGGCCAGAAGACGGGACCCAGCACAAGTTCCTACTGCCATTGAAGGTTCTGGAAAACAGAATGATCCCTATGCTCTCCCAATTACTGAAACTATAGATGGTAGTGTGGGGGTCCCATTGAAGGGGAAGAAGAAATGAAAAGGGCATACTTAAGACATAAATAATATAAAAGGGCACACATTTTTAAGATACATTCATGACATTACTACTACAAAAATAAATAACGGTTTTCTCTGGTTTGAATTAATGTCCTTCACACAGTTTGTCCCCAGCCTGTGCTGTACAGTCACTGGCTTACAGTGGGAACATGAGGAGGCCTGTGTACTTTCTCAGGTCTCCTGGGTTTGCCGAAGGACCACTGGCAGCCCCTCTAGAGGAAGGCCAGGAGACCATGTTGTCTTCTCCGTGCAGTCCTCCACGACAGCTGACAAGATAAGAGGATCCCAACTTAAAGCTCTGTCCTCTGCGTCTGAAGGGCCATTGCTATCTCCTGAAAAACACGAGATTTGGGCACATTATAGACTAATAGACGGTCTTCATACAGCAGTTCTGAAAACAGTAGGTTGAATAATAAAGAAACACAAAGAACAGGGAACCCTGATTGCTCTTCGAGCAGATGAGGGAGGGGGACTTGATCGGGGGAGGGGGAGGGAAATGGGAAGCGGTTGCAGGGACGAGGCAGAAATCCTTAATAAATAAATAAATTTAAATAAAAAAAAAAAGAAACACAAAGAAGTAAGTCCCACTTAAGTTTGGTTTGAATCCGAGGAAGAAGAATACATTAAAAAAAAAACAATTCTCTTGAGTCACTTACTATATAAGTTATTTGAGATTAAAATGATCCTCTTAAGAGCCCCTACAAATAGTACTTTACAGAAAGATTATAGTTTGTACAGCCGAGCCAGAGAAAAGCAGGGCTCATCCCCTAATGCAATGGAATGAGCAGCCTGAGCTATCTACTGCTATCCATCCCTGAATGTGTGCGCTCATCCGATTCCACAAGCTAAGCAGGGCCAGTTTTGGTTAGTGCTCAGATGGAAAAGACAACATGAGCTACTGGATGTAATAACAGAATTTCCCAGCGTCTCTTATCCATCCTTATCTTTTCTTGAAGTTCCCAACGCTCCCACCCAGTCTGCTAGCAAACAGTGAGTTGACGGTAGAAAACTTCCTGATAAAGTTCTCAGCCCACTGGAGACCAGAAACTAAACGCCTCCCTGTACCTCTGCTGAACTCGGCTGTATCTTCTGTGGAATGAGAATTGATGTCACTGAGCGTGTCCTGACAGCAGGTGTGCTGGGTAGGTGCTGGTGCCACACTGTCCTTGATGCTCTCCTCAGGTAACTGGCCACAGTCAGGAACTGTGGAAGCTGGACACATGGGTACCTTCACGGCACTGAGGGGCTTCATTTCCAGACCGTCCTGAGGATAAGGCGCTACCACTGGGACCACAGGAAGGGGAGCGCTGGTTTTGGTGAAACACCTGCAGAGTTTGAGTGAGAAGAAACAGAACTGAGTGTTTAGAGACATCAATAATTATAAGTTCATTTAAAAGTATAATGAATATTTTAAATTCACAAACTCTTAAGAATTATGCTTAAAAAATAACTAATCAGCTCATTGCAATTTGAAATAGGAAAACTCTGAAAGCTAGCAATAGTGGACAACGATAGGTCATGCACCGAAGGCAAACCTAAGGGCAGAACCTTCTGTGGTGACCCAAGCTATGTACTTCCTCCCAGTTCACTGCCAGCAGACATCTCCCATTTCATTAACTAGTTCCCAGATAAAGAACACAGGAGCAAGAAACACCAGCTACCGCAAGGAACGAGGGAGAGAAAGGAAGGATGGAAAGCTAAGACACGTGGCCGCATAAGAGGGATGACCTTATGACGGTCAGCATAAAAACGCATGGCTTTGAACAACGGTCGGAATAAAAAAGCACAGCTTTGAACCCAGAAGGCGCATCAGTTCCTTTCCTCTTTGCTGTGACACACACCCGACAAAAGCGACTTAAGGAAAGGTTTATTCCAGCTCTGAGTCCAAGGGGACAATGTACCACGGTGTGGAAGGCATGGCGGCAGGAGCTGGAGGCAGCTGGTCCATTGCATCTAAAGCCAAGAAGCTGGTGTTTCATTTGCTTTCTCCCTTTTATTCAGCTGGGACTCCAGTTCACAGAACAGTACTGCCCACATTCAGGGTCCTTCTACCTCCATTAACCTAAGCCAGGAACTCCCTCACAGCCGCGCCTGAGAGGTTTGTCTCCTAGGTGATGCTACACCCTGTCAAGCTGACAGTCAGTATTAACCATCACAGGTGGCTTTCCTCTCAGCCTTGGAGGAAACCGGATAGAGACTAGCCATTTAGATGCCAGGAGTTTTAAGATAGTTTCCCCATTGTAGAATTAAGTGGCTGGAATTTACCAGCACTGAACATTCCACTTCAATTCCCTTCGACCTTTATCTCCTGCCTCCAGCTAAGAAGTGTCTTTTCAAACGGGGTAGATCCTGACTCGACCTTTTCGTTCTTCGATTCTTCTGTTGTTTCCTGCAATGGCTGCCACGTTCACCCTGCACATTTGCCATTCAACTTCCTGTGCCTTTTCAGCCCTGAAGCTTCCATTTGGATTTTTTTCACAGCTGAAACATCCACACGTTCATTTCCTGAGTGTTTATTCTCCTGTAAATGCTTGAACATATTTATAATATTTGCTTAATGCCACTGTTTGCTAGCGGTGATGCTCGGGCCATCTCCCGATCTGCTTCCACTGTCTCGTGGTTTCCCAAGAAGCACCAGGATCCTGTTTCCTTGGATGTACCCCAATTCTTCTTCATTTCCCCTTGAATTTGCTGGTTGTTTTACTGCCGTTGAACTCAGTCTTCTGACATGCTCTTTCTTGGGCCCTTACTCCAGGACTGGAGAATGCCTTCTGGAGAAGCCCAGTCTGCCTTTGAAGGGTAGGTTCTAGTTCAGCTTCCCTGCTCCAGTTACCCCCCAACAGTGCTAAATTGTCTATATTTTATCATCGCCACCTGTAAGATCAAGCTGTTCCTCTGTTCCTGGTACATTTTTCTTAATTTCTAAAATGGGGACTAAGAAAAGCTGGAAAACGATGGACTTTTATGTAAGGCAGACAGGAAAACAGAAGAAAACGGCAATGTGCTAGAAATAGGTCATTCAAAAGAATAAAGGTCAGAATTCTTTATGTTCATTTTTTACACATAGCAGGGCAGGTTTCTGGGACAAAAAAATTAGGAAAGGGTCCAGTTCTGTTGGCTCAAGCCATTGGAAAGACCGGTTCTGAGCAAGATGATGCAGACAAGCCTGAAAGAGAACAGAGGCATGTCAGGAAATCAAGTCCTTAACTTAAATAAACCCAACTTCTAGTAAAAAAAAATACACTAACTGCACAGTTAAAGGACACTAGGGATCTAATTAACTTTTGAAAATATGACAAAAATATGAATATGACCCACATTTTCCCAGGCAGGTCTACAACTGGCCCAAATTACAAGCAGGTATAGACATGGATGTACTAGAGTCGGAACCAGAGCCCTGGCTTGGACAAGTCACCTCTCAGAAGAGTATGATATTAATTCTGATTTGCTCTCTTGGCTACTTGATTCAACTCAGAACTTTAACAGTGTTCATGTGATCAATGTCTTCCTCCCACAGTGCAGTATGTTGTTAGCCTCTCCGGCTCTCATACTCAGTGGACTCCAAAGCGGACTATACTGAGTGATACATGGTACCCACAGACTCTGAACATGTTAAAACATGGGGTGATGTTGAGGGGAAAATCTTTCTAGCTTCAAACTACTATGAGAGAATTTAACGGGCATGAGGGTCTCCTGCAGAAGATCCCTCCAACTGTGATGCACTGTGGTAGACATTGGGAAAAACAAGGTAAAAACAGCAGAGGTCCTGTTCCCAGCAGAGCAGAGGAGATAAACAAGCAAACCAGAGTTGCAGCTGAATGCTGGGATGTGGAAGGAAGTGCTGCTGCTGCTGCTGCGGCTACTGCATGTACTTCCCAGGCTGTGTCTGGCTCTACTGACTTCATAGCTGAGGACCTGACATTAGGTTCAACCATGGAACTGGGGAATTTAAACTCAGAAATATCTCTGGTTGGGGGAATCAGTATGGCTGCTGTGACTAACTGGAAGTATTTCTTCTCTCCCCCCCCCCCCCAGGGTTTCTCTGTATTTATTACCCTGGCCATCTTAGAACTTGCTCTGTAGACCAGGCTTCCCTTGAACTCAGAGCTCCACCTGCCTCTGCCTCCCAAAGGGCAGGATTAAAGGCGTGTGCCAACACCACCTGGTTTGAAAGAATTTCTTAAAATTTAAATTCTAGGCTCCCAGCTCTGGCTGCTTAGTTTATATCAGAATATCTGTCCTAAAAGGATGAAGGAATTTTACTTTAAATTTGCTCAAGGTATCAGGAGTTATTAAAGCATTTATATGGCTAAGGGTACGAGAAGTGAGTGTGAACCTGACCTTCAGCCTCCCTTTGCTACTGAGGTACCTGCTCAACTGAGTGCAGATGATGCTCTGTAGATCAAGAATGGAGGAGCTAAGGAGCTGAGCTGAGCTTTCAGAAGCATCGTTGGGGCTAGGAAGACAATACTGGAGTTCAGAGCCTGCCAAGAAGAAAAGACCTGGAAACACACATAGGCTTTGACATGGGATTCTCAAAGGACCATCTCCTAAAAGTACGTGTGAATCAGGAATAGACTGGGCCTACTGTGTATATGTGAAACAGTGTGGTATATGTACGTCTGTGTGGCACATATGGCCCTGTGTGCATGCGGAGACAAGAGGATGTTCTGTGTCTGTTCCATCACTCTCCACCTTTTCTTCTGGGACAAGGTCTCTCATGGAATCTGGAGCTAGGCTGGCAGCCAGCGAACCACAGCAATCCCCCTGTCTCCACCTTCCTAGCACTGGGGTCATAAGTACACTTGCAACTGTGTCCAGCTTTTTGCATGGGTCTTAGGGTTTGAACTCAGGTCCTCATCTCTGTGGACAACACTCTTCCTTGCTGGGTCATCTCCCAGCTTTTAGACTAGGTTTTTACAAAGCCTAAAATTCAGCATTACATCTGTTCAACCCTAGCTGGGCGTCAAGTGATTTGGCCCTGATCTAACTATATGGCCAAACATAAAAGTAAATCCTTTCTGGAAGAAAACTTTTTCTAGAGTTTATACCAGTTATATGGCATATATGAAAAAGAAATATTGTCAAGCATTAAACAAGAACAAGAGAAAACAAGTTGGGGTTGGAGAGATAGCGTAGCCATTAAAAGCACTTGTTACTCTAGCAGAGGACCTGTGCTCAGTTCCCAGCGCCCACCTGGTGGCCCACAACCAACCCATAACATCAATTCAAGGGGATCTGACCCCTCTTTCGACCCTTGGCAGACAGTGACAATACAGTGGTGTTGAAGGTCTCCAGGTTGAAGGAAAACAAGTGTCAACACACAGAAGAGAGAAAATACAGAGTGGAACAAGTAGCAGCAGAAGGGTAGTGTAGCTAAAGTCATAAGCCCAGTGCCAAGCACATAGTAAATACAGTAAGGAAGGACTTAAACAATGTAAAATAAATAATTATTAACATTAGAAAATTGGACTTTTGTATATACCTTTTCTCCAGCAAGCAAGCTCTTAAGGAACATCATCAGGCTCATTGGAAGCTGCTGCTCACAGTCCACACCCCAGGAGGTAAGAAGAAATGGATATTAAGGCAGGAGAACCCAGCACACTGATCCTCCGGCTGTTTGCATCACAATACTGATTGTCCACCCTTGTTCAATAGATAGATATTTTGTTGGCTAGATACTTTTCTACTATCTGTTGATGTCAGAGTTGTCTAGAGGTCAGTGAATGACTATCCTCAACTGTCACAGGAGACAGCTAAGGACAGTAAGACAAAAAGCACAGCCAGATACTTGACCTTGATTGTGTCACAGGTGCTAAGTAAACTTTAGGTTCCTGTTTCCCTTTCTCTGCAGGAATCTGAAAATTAATGGAAGGTGCCAGGAACTTAGACAACAAAGAAGAAACAGAAAGAGAAGTTCATTTTAAAGAAGTCTAATTAAATTGAGGGAGAAAGAAAAGCCATACTTACCAGAATCTGAAAAAACCAAGGCAGTTCCCTGTAAATAAACATTACAAATATTAATTAGTTTGCAGAGCTAATGTGAATGAATTGCATCATGCTGAAGTAATAAAATGCCAGGGACTCACCAGATAGTGAGAGGCCTTCTTCCTTCCCTTTGGCTTCCTCTGTCCTGTGCTCTTCTTGAATTTAAAACAGGCTGTAGATGGGATTCCTGAGTGAAGTCTAAGGGCTTTTCCACACCATGGTTTCTAAAGATCCTCTGCCAGAGGGGCAGGAAGTTACACTCACAGGGCAGGACCGGGGTCAGTGAGACAGAAGAACAGGGTCAGCTTCTACAAGGACGGTCATCGGTGGCATTGTGCCACAGGCAGGTATTAAAAAGACATTCAAAAATGAGATTCTCAGCAGGGGAAAGAAAGGTACAACTCCCTTAGCGTATGCTTTCCATGTAAGTAACAGGAACTCAAAAACTCCATCCTGAACGCTCCTTCATCAGAGGGGGTGACAGTAATATAATACACATTTGTAAAGTAGCTAGGATCCAGATTTCACCATGATAAACCACACTGACTTAAAATTTTCTAGTACATTGAATCTTAACTCAGAATCAGCAATTAACCACTTAGCTAACCAAATGTAAGCAATTCCATCGCTTTCCGGTTAGTGTACTTCCAGATGTCTGTGTGTCGGTCGGCACAAGACCATCTGGGACTTAGGCTAGGCATGCAGAGATAAAAGCATATGGGCCATGGGCCATAGAGGGATACGACCTCTCTCCTGAATGTGACCAGGTGCAGCGTGAGGAGGCGAGTCTGTCACTGAACATGCTCTCAGACATTTTCTAAGGCAATCAAAACCCACAGAGTAGCTGGGAATATGAAATTAACAGACCAAATCTCCACAGAGTGAGAAAGAACAGAACATTTGCTGAGACTCTTAAAAGGCACTTTACAGTTCACACAACTCAGCAACGTTTACACTCCGAGGCTCCACAGCCTTCAAATGTAGTGCTGCCAACCGTGGAGTTGACGCTTCTGCAGAGCTGTCTCCAGCCCGAGAAACTCGGTGTCTTAATTGTATCAGCACCAAGTAAAGGGAACTCCTGTCTATACAAAGTCTGGGTTACCCAGTAAGCGCCCAGGTGGTCTAGGACTCGCCAGTTTACAAGACAACCTTCCCACCTGTCTGAGGATTTAGGAGAAAGAAAAATGACTATTGTAGGAATCACAGGAACAATGAAATACTCTGTAATCAGCCACAGGAACAGCACAAATGGAATGAAAAGGAGAAGAGACCATTTGTATAAGCTTGCATTTGGGAGACAAGGCGTGTGAGTAGTTAGTTAAACATAATTTAGCTATTTCTGTAAAACTATACACACAAATATCTTCTAAAGAAGTATTTCACTTCTGATTACAAGGCTGGATATAATTAAGCATAATCATGACAGTTACTCTGATCAGATGACAGGACAAGTTTTACAGAAAGTCCTTTTCCCAAGTTCTTTGCAGTCCTGGGGATTGAACCCAGGATCTCATGCATGCTAAGCAAGTATTCTGCCACTAAGCCAGTCAGTGGTACTCTTGATTAGCCTTGAAGGCAAGGAGTAAAGACTCATGAATCCTTGAATAGTCAACCTTTATTTTCACACCCGTGCTCTGAAGAATTCCATAACAGTATCTTGGTGACAGTTTGTCTCATATTTAGTTCATCTTTGCTGTTTCCTCTCGTCACTGCGAGCTCTCTTACTTGCTGTTCTACTCCTGGATTGTGGGAGCAGTTGAGCTGCTGTATAACAGCGCTCTGATGACCCTCCTGCAGGGCCATGACGTCCTTCATTCTCACCGTCTGCACTGTTGGATACTGTGATGACCCTCCTGCAGGGCCATGACGTCCTTCATTCTCACCGTCTGCACTGTTGGATACTGTGATGACCCTCCTGCAGGGCCATGGCGGTTCTCACTGTCTACACTGTTGGATACTGTGATGACCCTCCTGCAGGGCCATGACGTCCTTCATTCTCACCGTCTGCACTGTTGGATACTGTGATGACCCTCCTGCAGGACCATGGCGGTTCTCACTGTCTACACTGTGGGATACTGTGATGACCCTCCTTCAGGGCTATGGCGGTTCTCACTGTCTATACTGTTGGATACTGTGATAACCCTACTGCAGGGCCATGGCGGTTCTCACTGTTTACACTGTGGGATACTGTGATAACCCTCCTGCAGGGCCATGGCGGTTCTCACTGTCTACACTGTGGGATACTGCGATAACCCTCCTTCAGGGCCATGGCGGTTCTCACTGTCTACACTGTGGGATACTGTGATAACCCTCCTGCAGGGCCATGGCGGTTCTCACTGTCTATACTGTTGGATACTGTGATAACCCTACTGCAGGTCCATGGCAGTTCTCACTGTCTACACTGTGGGATACTGTGATGGTGGGGTGTTCCTTAAGAAGTTAATTTATCAGCTATGATTACACAAAAGGTGACAATAGGTGCTGGGAGGCAGTGAAAGATGGAGTGCACTAATGAACGGGGCAAAGAGACTCACAGACGGCTTATAATTTAAAGACCAAAAGCAACACAATACTCCATGACAACAGGCTCTCAGCCTCCATATTAGAAGGGGCAAATGTGGGGAGACATACAATTTTTCCGAAAAGGTATTGAGCAGTTAGAGATGTATCTGTGGTTGAGAACATGGCTGCTGTTCCACTCCCAGCATCAAATCAGATGACTCACATCTGCCTGTAACCCCAGCTCCAGGCAATACAACACTCTCTTCCGACTTCTAAAGAAACACGTGGCACACACTCACAAAGACACATACGCATGAAAAAAAGCAAATCTGAAAGAAAAATATATAAGACTTTTTTTTTCTCCTCAAAGTGGACAGATTACATAGGTGAAGGAAAAGCGGAATTTTGGACTTTTGTGCTTTCTTCTTTAGCATTATGGATAGTTCTCAAGTTGCTAAGTGGTCAAAAATAGAAGAGGGGCTGGGTTATAAAAAATTACCCACTAAGAGGAAGAGTTTAAGTATGCTAGACAATTAACAACCACCTGGGTCCATCGAACCTCGCCGGAGACTCCTTCTATAACTTTATATCCTCGCTTCATCTCTGCGTCTCACAGACGCAGCTGACATCAGTGTGGAAGGGTACTCCCAGACCGAGAACACACAGACATTTAGGATTATCACAAAAACTTGGCAGCCATCTGTAATAACTGATTCTCTAGACATTATCCCCAGTGACTTTCTTTCTCTTGATTATCAGCCATTCAGCCTGGACTTTTTTTCCCCCCAGATGAATTATAGACATTTTTTCATGCTGATTTTTACTTCCTGCCCATTTCCAGTCTCTCTAGGACCCTTAAGTTAATCTCTCCTTCTTTCCTGATGGGACCTCTATTCGCTCATCTGTGGATTTCATCAGTGTCTCCTCTACTCTCTCCTACAGATGATCAAGACTGATGGCAAATGGGCCCAATTTAATGTCAGTTCCTTCCCATTAAACCAGCCAAGCAGCTAACAAACCACATTTGATTGCATATCCAGAACTGTACTCTTCTGTCTGAATTGAGGAGAAGAGAAAGGCAGAAAGAATTTGATTTATTTGATTACGATCTGTTTAACTCTTGAAAGGCTGAACAGCACAATGGTTTCTCAATTTTGTCTTCAGCAGAGGGGATACGAACGGCACAATGGTTTCTCAGTGACATTTTCAGTGGAGGAAACGGGCTCCCTGTAAGGCTGCATTTAACAGGCCTCTTTCTACACAGCACTAAAATCCAGAAAATGTTTTGAGTCAAGAGAACGCAGGAGAGCCGACAGTCATTTACATGCCACAGAGCCCTGGGACAGTTTTCCCACAGATGGCTAAGGTGCCTTCCCTCGTACTTGTTCCATTGTGTTGTTGTTGCTGTTGTTTGTTTGTTTGTTTGACACAGGGTTTCTCATATAGCCCTGGCTATTCTGGAATTCACTGTGTAGACCAGGTTGGCTTCAGATTCACAGAGATCTTCCTGCCCCTGCCTCTGAGTGCGAGCATTAAAAGCACGTGTCTCTGCACCTGGTTTGTTCCCAGATCTTTTTCTATCAGAACTCCAGTTATGTCAATAGCATCACCCTTGCTCCTCTGAGTCACTGCTAAAATAGAGGGATGAGAAAAGGGATTGACTGAGGGTTACTAACAACCGGTTTCTTAAAAGCCCTGCTCTAAGAAATGCATTCGGGTTTTAACCCTGAGAAGGCAGAGGAAAAGGAGGAGCAAGCTGCAGGGCAGGTGAGATGCTGCACAGAGAGACTCCGAATGAGCCCTGCCTGGTCGTAAATGCCTGTGAAACAGAGAAGACACTGCCAGGGCTAACACCAGGTGTCCTATAGCACACTGCTGGGCAAGGAGCCTTCATCAAAGCTGACTCCTAGGGAGATGACTGCAACTGGTGACCAAGACTCACCCTTCCCCAGCCTCTTCAACAAACTAGCGTCTCATTTATGAAATCCCACACCCACTCTGCCTCTCACTTCACAAACTGCGCCTGCAGTGTTCTTGATGACTGTAGGTCTAGCTGGTGACGAGCTGTTTAAAAATCTTTTGCGAACCTGCTGTGGCTCTGAATGATGTGGTTTCATTAACCTTTCTCCTCTGACCCTTTTTAAAAATAGTTTCTAGGAACATCAACCTGACTTAGAGATTCCACATAAATAGTACTCTCTGCCTGGAAAGCTTCAAACCTAACCTGTCCCTTTTACCTCATTTTGTAAATTCCTCATCGTTAACAAAATGCTTTCCGCTTAGGAAGCTCTAATATCTCTTATTCTTTTCTTTTTAGAAGACCTAGTTTCACTATTTATTAATCTTTATGATGTCATTTTGAAAAACACCAGACCATGAGCCCCATGTACGCAGGATGAGCCCATTGGCTTAGTCCTGTATCCCCGCACCTCTGGCTCACTGCAGACCCGCAGCAAATGTCTACCAGATGCACACAACTTCTTTGTCCTTTCTCACTCTCCTTTCCTCATTTCTTTTATTTTTTGACAATATTACCAAGGCGGTGAGCAAAAAAAAAAAAAAATAAACAACATCGAGTAATTAAATTCCAAAATAAATAAAAGCAAATCAACAGCTCAAGTAACGGGTTAAAATTAGCCAGTCAAGGTTATTGTCTCCTTTAAAAATATCAAACTGCAACTATAGGTACAGCCTGGAAAACTTTGCAACCGATGTTATTACATCTGTATTGCAGTCCCAGTATCTCCACCCAAACAACAGTATCCTTGCCTGTCTCCCTGGATCAGCAACAACCATTGGTACTAGAAACCAAAGTCATCACTTTTCTCAATGAATTGCTTTATTAGGTTGCTTATTTCTACGTCCACCACCCTGGCAATTACCAATCAGGTCATTTGCACTTGAAAAATGTTTACATATTTGGAATCTTCATTTAAAAAAAACTTGTTAAAAATGTTTGTTTAGTCGGTGTGGTATGCATACGTGGGACATGGCATATGTGTGGAGGTCAGAGGACACCTGTGGGAGTCGGTTCTCTCCTCCTATCAAGTGGGTCCTAGTTACTGAACTCAGGTAGTCAGGCCTGGCAGCAAGCACCTTAGCCAGTGGAGCCATCTCACCAGTCCTAATTTAAATTTTTGGGGCCCCTATCAGACAACGGCAGAGTAATGATGACAGCAACTCTAGAATTTCATCCCCTGCTTCCTCATTCCTGGGACAAAAGCTAAGTTTGCTTACAACAATGTCTAACAGTCTCTCCTCTCCAACACCTTTGCACACTGTTATGTGTCAAGCAGAAACCCATCCCTGAAAACATGACACTCTTCAGAAACCTTCATATGAGGTAAGACACCACTTGCACTGTGTTTTCCGACATTTCACACTTGCCTCCTCCTCTAACACATATCCTGCTGTCCTTTACATTACAGAATCAAAGGTTTGCTTCTACTCTTTAAACATAAGGCTGTAAGATGCACAATGCTACTGTTGCTGCTACTAGTGTGTGTGTGTGTGTGTGTGTGTGTGTGTATTGCCCTAAACAAGTGGATTTTCATGCAGGAAGAACACTTAAGCAAGTGAGAAACACAGATGAAGAGAATTCTCTTGTTTCCAGACAGCAGAAAAACAAACTTGAAATGCAGAAAGTTATTAACCTCAAAATTAAGAGAAATACATTATAATTTAAAATAAAACCTCCTAATTCTCCACAGATAAACATGCAAATGACCGAACTGAAGTTGGCAGAGGTCATTTACGTTCTTTTAAAGAAATGGGATCTCAGCTGGGCAGTAGTGGCACACACCTTTGATACCAGCACTTGGGAGGCAGAGGCAGTTGGATTTCCGTGAGTTTGACCGAGCCTGCTCTACAGAGTAAGTTCCAGAAAAGCCAAGACTACATGGAAAACCCCTGTCTTGATAAACCAAAAAGGAAAGAAGGAAGGAAGGAAGGAAGGAAGGAAGGAAGGAAGGAAGGAAGGAGAAAGGAGGGAGGGAGGGAGAGAGGGAGGGAGGAGATCTATTTTGGGCATAAGATAGAATCTCATCATCAAGACATTTTATTAAAGTCGATATTGTACTGTGTTCAGATCAGTCTTCTACTACTGAGAATAACTCTTTACCTTTCAGATAAGGGTGCTAACTCTAATACTATGTAAGTCTCCCAAGATCACAAACCTAAGCAGTGCCAAGGCACAGGACTACTTATTCGTAGACCAAAGGGCCCCCTCATTACAACACTCTTAACAGTCAAGATCTGCAATGACCACAGAACCACACAAGGACAACACGAGACATAAAAACTCTCGTGACCACTTGTTAAATTAACCCAGTTGATTACTGCCAAGTGTGTGAGCCAGCTTCATTAACTTCTTCCTCCTCCTCTGTAGTTTTTGGAGACACAGTCTTGCTCTGCAGCCCAAGCTGGCCTTAGACTTATGGCAATCTGACCACCTTAGTCTCTCAAGCACTGAGATTACTGGCAAAAGCTACCGCACCTAGGTTTTCAAGTTCCTTTCCATGTTTTCTTAACCATCTGTGATGAGAGTCTGTGAAAATATCTGAGCAAAACTGTGGCTTTGATATATACACATTTTCAAAATGAGTGTCACAGAGTTGAAACATGTAACTCTTAGTATACAAACTAGGCGAGACAGCTCTGGCTAATACATAAGCCTTTACAAGTTAGGTAAGGAACAAAAAGTAGCTATAATTTGTTGCTCTGTTCTGAGAATTGCTAAAACAATGTACTGTTTGTTTTCGGAGATAGGTCTCACTATGCAATCCAGGCTTGCTTTCATTCCAGTACAAACCCAGCTCTCCTGCCTTGAAAAGATGTACTTTGATTTATGGTTAGCTAGGTCTTTCTGGTGCAACTGATTTCTAGGGATAACTCTTAACTTTTTATTTCATTGAAAAGCAACAAAGGAAACCCTTCTCTATAGATGGAAGTTTCTGTCTCGCCTGGTCCCACACTCCCAAATAAACACACCGAGACTTATATTAATTATAAACTATTTGGCCTATTAGCTCAGGCTTATTATTAACTAGCTCTTACAACTTAAATTAACCCATAATTCTTGTCTATGTTTAGCCATGTGGCTTGGTACCTTCTATCAGTGTAACATTCTCATCTTGCTTCCTCTGTGTCTGGCTGGTGACTGCTACTCAGTCTTTCCTCTTCCCAGAATTCTTTTAGTCTGGTTGCCCCACTTCTACTTCTTGCCTGGCTACTTGCCAATCAGCACTTTATTAAACAAGTATGAGTGACAAATCTTTACAGTGGACAAAATTTATCCCACAAAAAATATCCCACAGCGCTTCTCAATAATGCATGATCCAAACTTCAAGCTACACTCCAGCTATCTTAGGTACTAAGTTTTCTAGTTGCAGAATTTCAGAAGTAGGATGAATTTTTAGGATTATGTAACTCAATACAATCATTATAGAAAAGAACTAAGATTTCTGATGTAACTTCAACAGTCCTTTGGAATTGATACGTACAGCAGTACATGGAAGAACTAAGAGCCTCCACCCCATGTCAGGCTGGCCTTGAACCTACAATTCTCCTGCCTCGGCCTTCCAGTTAGCTGTGATTAAAGGCTTGCACTATCAGCCTAAAATTCAAGTTTCTTAGCAAACTGTCTGCTAGTTCTTTGCAATTAATATTTAATATATTAATAATTAATACATATAGAAATAGTATGAAAGCTTTCTTATATTCAGTGTGTCAAAATTGATGCATTTTGTTTGCTTGTGCTTGAGATAAGGTCTTACCATGTAGCCCAGGCTGGTCTTGACTATACTCCCCAATTTAGGGATTACAGGTTACCGAGGTTATAGACAGAGATGTGCCGCCATGCCAGTTTCCTATGTGTCAAGACTTAAGTTTACATATTATTCTACAGAATTTTATCTTATTTAAACTATTGTATATATCACTTTTACTAGTGAAAACTGTAGATTTGAAAAGCAAGGTTTGGGCTGGGGAGGGACCCACATCTGTGCTGTGTGTCTGCAACCCCAGTGCTGGGAAGGCAGAAAGGGCAGATCTTCAGGGCTTGTAATCCAGCACAGACTATCAGATGTGCTCCAGGTCAACGAGAGATTGTTTCAACAAACAAGGCAGACCTAAGGAAGGGCATCTGAGGTCATCCTTTAAGTTCCACATGCACACATGTGTACCATACTCATGTACACACATGTACATGCATGGACATACATATGCAAAATTTCTTGTGGTTTTTGTTTTGTTTTAAGATAGGGTCTCTCTATGTAGCCTGGCTGTCCTGGAACTCACTGTGGAAACCAGGCTAGCCTCAGACTCATAGGGATCACCTGCTTCTGCCTGCTGAGTGCTAGGACCAAAGACATACACCACACAGCCCAAGTAAATATTTTCTTAAGTATCATAAGATTTTAAGAATTAAAGAAAAAAAGAGAAAAGAAACACTGCATAGTCTAATAAAAACATTCCAGCAATATTATTGTGGAAAAACCACTTTATAGATAGGAGATGTTTTTGTTTTGTGTGCTGCTTAACTGTTTATACTCACCCCAACACAGACATGCAAATAAGAAATGGGAAAAGACAAAAACTGCAATATGGTGAAGAACCCTACCCTTAACAACACTCTATTCAAAAACAAAGCCTTCAATATCGTCACTCCATGCCTAAAGAAACCGAGGCACAGAAACAAAAAATCACAGCCTTAAACTAAGGACGGTGGAGTTTTGTGTAAAGTATAGAAAAACAAGGAGGTGGCCCAGAATGTGTTGGTCACAGCAGTATGGCTGGGCCCACGCTAACATACCTATTGTTGTTCCGGCAATTCCGACAGTTAATGCATTCCAGTGGGTCAATCTGAGGCACTGCTGTGTACACTCCTCCACCCTGGGCAGGACAACATCCAAGGAAAAAGAAAAGAAGAAGCTGAACGGGCAGAGTTCACTTGTTAAATAAACACAAATACACACCACTAACCAATGGAGGTAGTACACTTTCACACACTGCCTGAGCAATGGGATACTTGCTACTCATTCACAAGTGAGCCCTGAGCAATGGTACCGTGCACCCCTAAAGCTGAGCTGCCACATTCTTCCAGGTACTTTTGTACTGGAAAAAAAGCAAATAAATGGAGGGAGGTTAGTCACTTCCTTTCAGTATTTCAAATTTATGCCTTAAAATATATTATGCATCATAAGCGCCCACTCGTGTTTTCTTTTCTAGCAGACATGGAAAGAGCTCATGTGACGCCTCTTAGAGACACAGGGTGTAAAGTTTGTTTGAGTGATGTCACAAGATCAGCCCATCTTCATTTTCCTGTAATTATTTCGGTTAGGTCTGTTCACTTGACTGTGCTGTTTTAAAACGTCATATTTTTCCAGATGGAGCAGACTCTCAGCCAGCAATGACTTGGAGGGAATATTAATATTTTGGTGTTGCTTTTGGCGGGAACTGCTCCGCAATTAAGGAAAATGCCCAGATTAACACATACCTCATTGTAAAATGTTCACTTGACATACAGAATGGCAAACAGGAAGTTAAAGATTGACTGGCCTTAGAATCAGAGTTCTGCTTTCTGGAGAAAAACAGTAGGGCTGAACTGGGAAGGGGGAAGGGTTGTCACACAGCACTCAAACCTCAGGCAGGCCTTTGAGGTTAGAGAAGGTTCAGGCAGTTTTTGCTACACTTTCCATGTCCCTTATCTTAACAAGCGCCAAACAAACCAAGACTAGACATTTCTCTCAGTAATCCTAATCCACCTAACAACAGAGGAAGCATAACCCTGGACTACATCGAGTCCATGAGGGCAAACTCCGGAAGTTCAGAAGAATGATGTCGTTTGTGAGAATTGCTGAACTGTTAAAGTCAAATCAGTGATTTTCACGATCCCAGGTAAGGTTGTAATTTCTTTATGTCTTCCCTTTCAGAAGGGTAAGAGGATGAAAAGTTTACAGTCACACTGACAACCTCATTTAAATGGCCAGTCAGTTCTGAAAAGCCAGAGTTCTGAGCTGGTCTTCCACAGGGCTCCTTCTAGAAACAGCCAGTGATGTTCCAAGTGAAATGCTTTCTCCATCAGCTTTCTCTGCTCCTCAGCTGAGGTGAGGAGTGGACTGGGGATGGTGACTTCCTCCATGGAAGAATGAAATTACTACCTTTTGGGGACGGTACACTTTATAGAACGTACAAAAATTCAGTCCCACAAAAGCTATAGGTTTTTAACTTAATGGTACAAATGGACCTTCTAGCTTTTGTGGCAAATCTAATATTTCAGTATCTTTACTAAATTGAAGATAAAAAAAAAAACTAACTTTTCCAGATTGTGGCAAAGGTCTTGGTAATCAGAATAAGAGTAAAAATGAAATAAGTGTTTAATTTGATAAACTGAACAATTATCTGATTAAAAGGCAATATGGATGTCCAGGCCAGAAACATAATAAATCAAACTCCCTCATATGAGAACCCGTCAAACAGTATTACCTAAACTGTGCCGGTCATTCCAGTCCATTTACAAGGGACGAAACTGTCTCAGAAATAAGGAAATTTCAAGGTTTTGCAACTGAACTCCTTGTGGCTAAAAATGCTATTCTAAAATCCAAAAGGGTTATATGCTACAGGGTTTAAAAAAAAAAAAAATCACTGGGCTAAACGAAGTCCCGATGTGGCAGCCTGTGAGCTCTCTTCACGGTCTTCATAAAGCTAGGGGTGCTGCTCGTCAGGGGAGCACTTGCCTACTAGAGGAGAAGCCCCGGGTTCCAGCTCTAAGGGAAAAGATCTCAGTATTGTCCTAGCATCTACATTTACAAGTGTACTGATCGGTCAAAAGTTAAGCAGCACCAGGTCCTGCACTGTGCACAACAACAGCAGGTACAGACTGGAATTGCTTCTTCAATGAGGAGCGCTGGCCACCACCTCCTTCTACCACAGCACCCCAGTGTGCTGTAGAATGTTTCTCTGTTTGCCAGACTTCACAGCATTGCAGTTCTCAGACTCGGCTCCAAGTAAATGAAATGTGAACCATCTGGCCTGGTCTTTGCTCAGCACTATTTCCATTTCGTCTCAAGAATAACTCCCAATGTGTTCTTTCCTGCATTCCACTTTGTGGTAAATAATTTAAAGCTAGACCAAGCTGACAACTACAGCTATTACTGATGACAGAAAACTGATGAAGATTCCTCTAAATCTGGAGCGACTGGCAACACATGCCATGCCCACATCCACGACTTACGGGGTGCCTACAGTGAAAGAAGTGGAGTGACCACCACCAGTTCTTGTACCCCACCCACCACACTGAGGCCCAGAGAAGCTATCATTTACAATGAGGTCTCTTACATTCAATAGATGGTGGGAATGCTCAAACTCGACCCGTGTCCTGGCTAGCGAGTTTGTGTGTGCAGAATCAAGCCCTCTGTTGATGCTTCCATTCAGGATCCCATTGACTCCACCGGGGCCTTTATGGTGGGGATGAGAACAGCCATTGCTGAGGAAGCCTCCGTGAACACTCCCATTGATCCGGGCTGCTCCTGAGAGCGTGGCATACTCTACCATCTGCCCGTTAATCTCTGACCCTTGATAGAGGTATCCTGGAGGATCGTATTCTGTTGAAAAGAATAAACAAGCCCAGAAGGAAAAGCAAAGTCAGATACTGAAGGAAAAATCTTCCTGCTAAGAAATGTTATTAATGAAATCACTAAGACGCTACAAACAAGGCTAAAATAAAACATGCTAAACTGTTCCCACAAGGCTCTGGTAGAGTTGCTGCTATTGTTTCTTTAGAGTGAAGAGTAGCTTGGCATGCCGAGTTAACTCAGACTCTGCTAATAGAAGGAAAATTTTATCTGGGAGAATTACTCCCAGGGGAATAATGTGCAAAAGGAAATCATCGAAGCGAAGGCAACGCTTAAGTAGGAGTGCTTAGACTCCCACGCACCGCAGAGAGCTGAAAACAGCTGTCAGAATACTGAGTCGAGAAGGATTTAAACAGCAGTAAGCAGCATTTTTAGGTAAAAAAGGATGATGACATGTGTCCATCTGCTGGCCATTCAATAGCTCCTCCTGTCATTGTGCATGCCAAGGGTGTGAGGTTCCAAAGGCAAAAGGGTGATTTTATTCCTTATATTAAAAACACTTGTGCAAATTCTGATTTCCAGAGGCACATCTGCCAGAAACATTTAGAAAAAGAAAAGCTATTCCTATGAATCCTAGCAACGAAACTCTACAGCCCTGGTGCCAGGCTCTTGCTAGATGCTCTCCAAGTTTCTCCTGGTCCTGCTTTCCCCACAGGTGGCTCCCTCCTGCACTGGTAACCAGTACTCCTTCAGAGCAGGTCCTGGTTATCTTATCAGTAGATCTCCATTGTTTAGCAAGGTGTCTGACAGGCAGCAGACAATGAGTTTCTTCTGGTGGCATAAATGGCTGAATAAATACTCATGATAATTTTCCATTTTGTAAAGATATTATGATCACAAAGGAAAATGACTTCTTATCAGATCAGTCTTGCTCAGATAACCAGAACAATGCTTTCCTATTCAACACACACACAATTAGTATAACTTTAGAACCATTTAAAGGCCCAATCAAATGGTCACAAGCTTTGCAGCCTGATGTCATCAATCCAGTCATGCCTCTTTTAGAAGGCACTGTCCAATCAAAATACATAATGTTTTCCCCCAAGAGTGACTAACTTAAAGGGGGAGAATCTGACAATGGTCCCTGCAAGTACTTATCACTATGGGTTTCCCCTTGCTTTTATTTCCTTATTCTTGGACCAAACTGGAAAACCTTCCCCTCACCGATGTCTGATAACCCTGCTTGACTTGGTTTTAGTGTTTCAAACGGTTGGGGACAGGAGCAATAGTACCATCATCAACTTAAAATCACGCCTCTTACTTGATGTATTTGGGAGGCATTATGCCACTTCAGAGTTGTGCAGGTATAGCAGTTAGAGTCAGGGCCACGCTATCCCTGCTCATGACACCTACTGATGGTGTCTAACAGGCACCACTGTGCTCCTTTCTGTCAAGGCATTCCCTGTTGACCATCACATGCACCAGCACGAAGATGTTCCTACAGTGATTCCAGAACCGATGCTTCAAGCACTCATCCTCTTTGGTGGTCCAACAAAGTCAGGCTTTCCCAGCACCAAGACAGCTATTTACTCAGAAACCTGCTTAGCTTGGGCTTTGGTGTTTATTTCTATTGGGAAATTTAATTTGATGCTCCACTTACTTTGGCTGGCAGCACGAATGGTTCTAAAGTCACCCACCCCCTCTGAGTGGAGAGTCTAACAGCTTTCACTCCAGGGCACAAATACATGAAAGTGTTAGGAATCAATATTTATTCTGACAATATTTTTTCTACCCATCTTTAGAAAAACACAAGGAAATACTTATGACTCACTCTGTATGGCACTTTGCTGGCGACTCTTCCACAAACACAGCGCAATGAAAACCATAAGAATGAGGACCATAACACCAAGCACACAGCCAACGATGAGGTACAACATATCACTGCTCCTGGCAGGGCTGGTCGCAGGCCCCACATGCCCTCCATTTCCCGAAGAACTGGGAGGGGTGCTCAAGTCTCTCACGGGATACTCTGAAGCTCCAGGAACACGTTTTACTGGATGAAATATTAAAAAAAAAAAAATGAAGTCAGAGTGAATACAGAGTTTATGAAATGGACTCTCCGAAGGAGGTCTGGCTGGGGAGGCAGGCTGGTCTGTTTACACTCCTCACGGAGATGATATGACCACCAGTGAGTCACAAGGAGAGATCCAGAATTTGAAATTCTGATCAGCCAGAGTTTTAGTCCTCAAATTTTTGAGCAATTCTAAGAGCCAAGAAACATACAAATTGGGTTGACCCAAACAGCTGTATGATGATCTGCTGGGTTGGGCTCACAGAAGACTCCCCAGGTTGAACTAAAATACTTCAACTTATGGACAGAAAACAAAACAAAAACAAAAGAAACACACAAAACAAAACTAAGTCTGTGTGATATCTTTTCCTCTAAATTAGACTTAGTGCTTTATTCTCCTATCATGTAAAAAAGGAACATTAGACAATTAACTTTGATATAAGATAGCAACTGCATATAACCCTAAACACCTTATGTATCCTTCAAGCACCCCCAACAAGGCCACTAGAGTCCATATAAACACGGTCCTCTTTCCTACTTCATGGGTATTCTGGGCAACTGTGATCACAAACTTATTTAACAAATGGGACACAAACTCCATTCTTGCCATCTGCAAGTCACATGTTCTTATGGCTCTAAAGGTCAGAAAAGTCCCACTCCGTCGTAAGCAGAGTATAGTAGCTGACGGCCCATTCTCTGGAACCAGGATCCCCAGGTTAAAACTCAACCCTCCCACTTATATCACGTTCACTTCCATTAACCTGTTCTGTGTTCAGAAAAATGGATTTAAAAAGAGCTTCATCTTAAGGCTGTAACAAAAAGTGCTATGGTCTGAATATAGCTGTCTTCAAACTCACGTAGAAATGTAACCACAAGATAACAACATTAAAAAATGTAATTGGTGATTAGGTAGTCAGGACCTTATCTCCACCAATGGATCAACACCATTATTACAGGAGTGGGTTTAAATGTAGACTCTTTTTGTCCGGTCTAATTCACTTGCTCTTCCACTATGCTATGACACAGACTGGAGGCTCTGACTGTCAGCACTATGTCCGACTTCCCAGCCTTCATTCAATAAACTTCCACCGGCTGTAACCTGCAGCTGATAATGAGGGGTGCTATTCTGAACACAGCCACGTGACCAGAGAACACACTATGATACCGTCTCATATGATTCCTTCTTTGCAGGGCTGGGGACAGACATACCACTATGTACATGCTATGCAGGTGCCTTCTCTCTGACCTATAACCACAGACCAACATTGTTTCACCTGGTGTCTGCTAAGATTTATATAAATAATTTTGGGTGTATATATGCACATGTGTGTTCTGGCACCCTTAGAAGCCAGAAGAGCATTGGATCCTCTGGAGCTAGAGTTATAGCACGTGTGAACCACCCAGCATAGGTGCTGGGAACCAACTGCTCTGTGCTCTGCAAGAATAGTCAACCTCTGTAGCCCGGTCAGGCAAGACTCTTAATGTTTTGGGTAAAGAGATGACATACTTCATTTGATTATTCTGAATGTCACAGCAGTCTAGAAACAAGCAAGAACTCCTAAGTGCATCACAATGCTGCCTTCAGAAAGGTACTCAGAAAGATAGAATCCAAACGAAATTCAAGATAAGGTCCAGGTGGACAGATGGCTAATGCAGATTTCATAGGAGAGCTTTTCAGCAGAAAGACACATGACTGAGAATTTCTCAGCAGGAACTAAGCCTGGCTTTGCAATTCAATCTTGAGTCTTTGTTTCCTTGTTTTATTCCTCTTCTCATCATCAAATAAGAGCAATTGTAGCCGACACTAATGGCTAGTCGGAATATTCAACTTTCTTCTTCCACACCACCCAAACCTTCTTCAAAAGATCCTTCTTAAGGACCGGGGATGTAGCAGAATGCAAAGCCCTGGGTTTGAGCCCAATACCACATAAACTGAGTATGAGGCTGTGTGCCCATAATTTCAGCATTCAGGAAGGGCCGGAAGTTCAAGGCTACATAGGAAAACATCAGACACTGTGTAAACTAATGATGATTATTATCTTCTAAAATAGGCATTACCAGATCTCAGCATGCCTACATGACTAGCTGAAAGCCAGATCCCTGGCTGGCTATGAGCAGTGCTGCACTGAGGGCCCCACTGACACCTAGGAGGAAGCAAAGAGGAAGGAGAAGACACAGAACTTCCTAAATTATCTCAAAGGTGGTTCTCTACTTCTCACTAAGCAATGGGACAACGGAGATCCGCAGTGGAGACTTTTGTGTTAAAGACCATTGAGAAGAGTCCAAATGAGGTATAAAGACTTCCAATCTGCTTTATGAACAACCAGATTAACCATTTCTTCTGTCCCCATGTGGTGTTTCCTCCTTTTAAAGATCCCCCTATAGTCATTCTCTGTGTTCAGGCAGAGTTGAGAATGACAATTTAAAATCTGTGACCGCTATCTTAAACTTAACACGTATTAAACATGTAGCTAGTACATGCATCCATCACTCAAGAAACTGCTTTCAGCAGGTTGCCATGGCCTCAGTGTATCCTCCAGTCTTGGTCCCCAGTGTGGCCATGTAAAGAGTTGGGGCCTAGAGGGAACTCCCAGGGTTCCCGACTCAGAAGGAACTGCTTTCTTTCTTGTGAGGTCCTAATGGTTCTCATGAGAGAGATGTTATAAAGAGCAGGCCTGCCCCTGTCTGGCCTTCCTGGCTTTCTTCCTTGCCAGATGACCAATTCCTCTCGTGTGCACTCCTATCCCTGTGATGCTGCCTGTCACAGGTCCTCACAGACCTGAAGAGCTAGGAGCTCAACACACCCCCTTTCCTTATGCAGTCCCCAGCCTCAGACACTGCACTATCATAACTGTAACACTAGGGTAGTACTTTTTCTTAATCTTTTATAGTTTTAATTATATTTTAATTTTCATAGAAAGTAGCAAATATTTCTACTCTCTTTATGAAGAATAAGAAAAAAGAAGTGATGTATATATGGTCACATGGAAAGTAATGGGCACCATTACATAGACAATATTTTAGATAAGTGTTCTATCCAACACAATGTACTTCTATGGGGGCAGTATAAATGCATGCAACTAGAAACACGTCCAAAGTAGAATTTGCACGTAGAAATATCCCCATAGCTCTAAAATGTGATCTAGTGTTTGGGATTCTAACACTGGTCAGGAAGGAACGCAGGCTTCTGCACATGTCCTACCTTTGGTCTCGCAAATCATCACGTTGCTGAACTCGCTCTCCCCGCCTTCATTAAAGCACTGCATCTTAATGTCATAGGAGGTTTCTGGCTGCAGGTGACCAATCGTGTGCCACTGCTTTGAACCTAGAAAAGAGATGCGAGAGACAAGCTGTGGACACCTCACAGGATTGTGACACAAATGTGCACATTCCATTCTTTCAGAATGAGATTTATCAGCAGCGCTCAGCATTTCACACAGCCTGTGAGATCAAAGCATCCGCCATGTGAGCCCTTTGACTGCATCATGGATGAACAGCATCTCTACTAAGTGGCACGTAAAACAGGTGAAGAGATGATACCAAAGGGTATCTGGGTGTTGGCAGCAATACTGGTTGTTATTAAAAATTAGTGGCGAGCCTTTAATAAAAATACATTGGATGGGGGAAAAGTATCTCAAATCCTCATTTTAGTCCCGCAAGTCTGGCCACTATACCCGCCCACTAAAACTTCAGCAAACAGTGCATGCCCGACCCTGCAGTTGCAGGGAAGCCTTTCACAGAACCCTCGGCCACTGCCATGGACACATCGCCGGCTGCCGTGGAGCCACAAAAGGCAAACAGCTGCTGTGCCCAAGACCGCTGTCCTTTTGAGTCAGAGTCCCAGAACTGCACAAGTGTCTCCACTATTAGGGCTTGTTATCTGTGGCATGCGGCCAACATTTCATCTAGAAATACTCCCAAACTGAGCACGCCAGTGTAAATCAGCCCCCTTCTCACTTTCATGGATCTGTGACAAACTTTCATAAACAGGGACACTTTTGCCAGCTCTAATTAACTCTTCAAGTACTCTTAATCCCATTTAGAAATTGACTCTGCAAACTGTTTCCAGTGTTTCCTAGAAATCCAAGCATACCACCGACCGATTTAAGAATTAATTAAAGGGATAGAAAGAAACAAAAAAACCCGCACCACACGCATAAGTCAAATGTGCTTGGCTGACAGGACCAGGATCACAGGCTCCTTTCTAATTCAACACAGACAAAAACACTTCAGCCCCTTTCCAAGTCACCATACAAAAACCCCTCATTCACACAGACTTGCATTTTATAGGGGAGAAAATCTGCTTGTCTGAGATCAAGTGTCTCTGGGAGTTGTTAGGAGTGGGTTCTAGACTTGTAAAGAGATAACTCCCCTCACACCCCAATTTTTTTTTTAAACGACGAACTGGTTAAAGCTGGAATGGGACAATTTCTAAAATGCAAAAATTCCCCGCTAAGACTCTTCTCAGTCTAGCCCTTAGCCTCTTCTGAGTCTACACCCGACTATAACCGTCTCCGCTAGACCCAGGGCACTCCCTTCAGAGAACCAGTAATGGGATTCAGCTTCTAGCAATGCTTCCAGTAATGGGGTTCTGGTTTTTAGGAGAAAACAATAGACACCTTCTTGGATTTGTATTTCAGCGTTATAGCCAATCTTTCCAATAGCAAAAACTACAGGTTGGCAAACAGAAGTCATTTTTATCCTTGACAAGTAAGATAGCTATGTGCACTGTTGTGTCTAAACCCAACCAATGAGTGTACACCCTGTGCTCAGCCTCAGGCTTAGCACTGCAGTGCACTATGAGTTTTATACATGGGGATCTGGAACTCCTCTCAACAAGACAAAAGTACTCCACACAAAAACACTGGCAGGCTGACAACATTTGTAGTTTACCCAAATGTGGCAAAGAATTTAGAAGATCTAATAATGTAAGAAATGCAAGTGTTCTTATTGTAGTCTGGTCACTAAAGAGAGAATGAGGCAAAGGGGTGAGACCTAAATTTTGGATCAATACACACATGAGTAGCCAAAATCTTTAGAGAAAAGTGTAAGTACATTCTGCAAATGAACATTTTGTTCCTGGATTTCAGAGAATAGACCAATAGCTCCAGTTGCCACAGGAAGAATTTCAAATGAATAAACTTGAAAATAAGGAATAAGCAAATTACACAGCACACTGGATCCCACTTAAACATCCAAGTGCTCAGTGTGCTACATTTATAAACAAGCTGGCCAAGAACCGGGGAAACTCCATCTGCGTGCGCTGCGAGACCTCGAGTGGCAGTAAACGCTCTTCGAGTCCCAGGCTCACATCAGGTCAAAGATTCCTCTGAAGAGCACAGTTAAAACCTGTTAACCCACCGGGATTCCTAGAAAGTACAAGGAGGAAGGTGAGGAAGTGGGAGAGGGACCCAGAGAGCTATTCATGCCACTTAACGTCGGCTTTGTTTAGAGCCATCTTATGCCAAATGTTTAACCAATGTCAAAAGTTTTCAAAATAAAAATCTGATATCCCCATTCTTCTAAATCATCTAAACTAAAACAAAGACTTGGAAAGAACAAAATGCAGAAGTCATAATTATCTTTCTGTTTTTTCTAACAGCCTTTTGATTGACGGAAAATATGCAAACTGAAGAGCCACACACTATGTATAGCACACTGAATGTTCACAAACCAAACACACCCAAGGCACGGACGTCTAGGCCACCAAAGAATGCCGTTGGCTTCCCACTGTCTCCTAATGTTCCTTAGGTTCACTTCTCTCCCTCAAGATGGCTACTGATGACTTCTGAGAGCAGAGAATAAGAGTGCCACTAACCTTACAACAGAAAAGAAAGAACTGTTCCTCCATTCAAAATATAGTCATGTGCAGTTACCCTACTAAGCATAAAAACCCAGACTGCAAAGATTTTTACTAAGTTACAAAAATAATTCCACTGAATAAGTACTAAAAGAAATCCTACAGGAGCTGGAAAGAGTGAGGAGCACTTGGCCATTTTGTAGAGGACATGGTTTGGTTCCAGCACCTACATGGCAGCTTACAATTGATCCACAACTTCAGCTCCAGAGGATCTGACTCCCTCTTCTGACCTCCGAAGGCACCAAGCACACACCTGGTACACATACATACATGTGGGGAAATATTCATCCATGTAAGATAAAAAACATATAAAATCTCAAAAAATCTGTAATATTTGATATTATATAGCATATTTAAACTAATTTTTAAAAAACCTATGTATTTAATGGCAGGAAGTAATATGGTAAATCCTAGGCCTAGGACAATTTTCTGACAAGATTTGCTACATGTATATATATTTATGTATACTGGGGTATATGTATGTGTGCAGGAACTCATGGCCCAGCACATGCTAAGAACATGTGCTATGTCTGAATTACTATACATCCAATCAAGACATTCACTATTTCAAAAGGTCAGAATTTACACTGAAGACAGAGCTTGGAAGAAGTTTTCCTCCCAAATCAAGAAACCCATCTATAATACTACCAAGAATCGAGCATCTGGTTTGTACCTGATGCTTCCAGACTCCAGGCACCTACGAGGGAACCTAGACAGTTATGTCAGAAAGCTCTTTCCTATTTCATTCCTTAGAACCACCCGTCTCGACTGAAGCAGCTCCCACCCCACAGGAAGGTCTGCTGGTTTGCCAGCTCTCATGCTGGTCCCTGCCCCAGCCTGCTTGTCACCAGACACTCCACTGCTCTTCCTCTGAACAAGTCCATCAATACCAAACGCATCACCACAGAAGGTGCAGGGAACACAGCAGAGGGAACAGAGATCCCATGTCCAAAGGAAGTTACTATTTGTAAGAGAAACATATAATTCCAAACAGTGGTGCTCACGTATGTACACTTAGATAAAATGTTACGAAATAAACACAAAGGGCTTATTTTGGTTAGAACTCCAGGGAAGACCTGGTCTGAGGAAGAGGCATGTAAAGTCCCAACAGAGAAGAGTGAGAATACCCATGCAGAGGGTTAGGAAAAGGGGACGGTGGGTGCAGAATGGTTCCTGCCACCAAAGGTTTGCATCATACTTAAGATGTGATCATCCTAGTACAGAGACACTGAGGAGACTTTGCTTTATAATGTAGTAACAAGCTGCAGCTGATTTATGCGTTCAGGTCACTGGTAACTAAAAAAAAAAAAAAGGTCAAAATTTTTTTCAGATGAAATACTGACCAGTCATCTTCTCCCATACTTTTATACCTGTCTGTAAAACAAAATCAGGTCGCTATAATATATATTACATATAGGTGTGCATATGTGTGTAACACACATATGTGTAAATGTGTAAATATATGCATATATACCAACACACATATGTATGTACTGTATATATACACATATATATGTGTGTATGTATATATATGTGTGTGTGGTGTGTGTGTATATATTGAGAAACTGGGTTTCATTGGAACAAACTTAATAGCAAAAACCAGATCATTTCTAACTCGGTCTCAGCCTGTGATGATGGGTCATGATGTTTAGCCCCTCCCCACAAAATCACTTATGCAGGGGCTCCGGCTTACCAAGGGACTCACCTTCAACAACATCCCTCTTGTAATCGCTGTCATTGTCACTGTCTGTCGGCCGATAATAGATATAAAATCCTTGGATGGGAGTGTTATTATTACTTGATGGAATATACTAGAAAACAGAAGCAAAGACTTGTCAAAGGCAAAAATAAAAGTAACAACCACATTTCCTTATGTGTATGGTAATGTTTCTTTAGCTTTGTTTTGGAATAAGTGGCCATTTTTTTAACCTGATGCAGAGATATTTAAAGGTATATGAGCATTTAGCTTACTGCAGAACTCAACAAAACTAAAACAGTATACACTTCACTAGAAAAATAGCACATACTTCACTAGCTTTCAAAATAAATGTACACTTGATTCAAAAAAGAATAAATAATAAAGTATCAATTAGGTTAATATCTGGATGAGGGCAGAAGAAACAATAATTTCACTTTAACCCTGTCTCTTAGAATATGTGCTTTAGGCAAACATGAGTGCCCTTCCGTTTCCCCACAGTTAGGAGTCCAACAACTGGTGGCTCATAACATCACATCACAAGGGCATTACAATGACAGGAACTTTCACTAACAAGATACCCATTCACCTACCGTCCACTTGAGCACAATCTGAGTATCGCTGACAGCCTCTGTGTATGCAATGTGAGGTCCGGTTATTGGGCGGTTGGAAAAGCGATTTGGGAAGCCAGCCACCTGGTAAGGACGGGATGCAGAGCTCCGGAAACTCTCACCATAATGGTTGATAGCAATGACTCGAAATTTGTACGTTGAACCTTGAGAAAACGGGCAAACACAAAACATTTTTCATAAAACCCTATGATGATGTTATGCTGCATCTAAAGAATAAAATAAAATCTTAAAGCGAGTGTCCTCATCACTCAAATACAATCACTGAAGATTTTCAGTCTGGAATGTGTCACTTGGATTCACCCATATCTAAAGCTGCTGTCATTTCCCAACTAACTACATCTGTTCCCCACGGCAGAGAGTTAGACACTGATACCTGTTACATCTGTGTATTTAAAATTCCAGGAGCAGAAGTGGTCATAAACTCAAACAAAAGTATAAGTTTATTCTCACTTTTTCACAAGTCTCAAGGCTTGGGGGTAAATGGGATTAGAGTAACAACTAAAAATCCAGAAATGAAATGGTTAAGGGGCGGGGGATATAGCTCAGTGGTAGAGTGCTTGCTTAGCACGGGCAAGGCATTGACTTCTATTTCCACCACTGAAACAACAGCAACAGCAACAAAAGTATGACACACTTAAAAGTTAAATATAAAATGAGGGATGCAGCGCTGTACTTATGGCAAGATTCCAGGGCATATAAAGACACAGAGAAGAAATATGCCAAAACATAAATAGTCTATGGATGGGTATAGTTCAGACAACTTATTCTCTTCTTTATATTTTCCTTTTCAAATTTTTCCACAGTAAGCATTTGTTACCTCAAATAACAGCCAAAAAAAAAAAAAATTACCTGGTTCTAAACTACGAACTTCGACAGAAAGTTTGGAAGGAGGGATATCTTCGGCGGCCACCAGCCAATCACTAGTCCTCATTCGTTTATACTCCACCTTGAAGGCTGTGATGGGTGAGCCACCATTTGCCCGGGGAATCCAAGTGACATAGACGGAGGTCTCTGACGCTGTAGAGATAGTAGGCCGATCCGGCGCCTCTGGGACTGAAAATTGAACATTCATTTCACCATCACCATGGTGTCAGAGACAGGAATAACCTACAAATACTATGAGGGATAAAGCCCAAGCCCTGTGTTAAAGGTCCCTCACCAACTTTCTGTCATAGCTAATAATTTACAGCCTGTTTCCCTGTCCTGTTTAAAAGCTAATAAAAATGTACAGGAAACTGGAAGGAAGGAAAGTCGAATGATTACAGATATGATAAATAACTCACAAAGAAAGAGCTAATGAACATGATAGGTTCTGCCATTCTATTTTAGAATGATGACTAAAGCCAGGTGCAAGCAATTATTTAATTTTGGTTATGGTATATGAACAATTCTCATAAATGTTTTCTTATTTGAAATGTTTTCAGAATTCCGTAAAAGAAACCCCAGAATCTATTGATGATTACAGTAACTGTAACTCTTACCCTCCTTGAATACACCTCAAGACTTCAGGAATTGCTGCTCTGAAACAGTCTGTCAGCACATGCACAGAGAGACCAGGAGAAAACCAACACTGGCATGGTAACTAGGGAAGGAGAGGATGTGAGGGAGACAGAAGCAGTGCACAGAGACGATGGCACTAACAGAGAAAAGTGGGCCAGAGAGCTCATGCACAATGGCTTGCTGTGGGCACGACCACAAGACACAGGTTAGGACTAGACCTTGTGGCAGATGGAAACATCGGGAGTGAGCTCCCCAGCATTTAAACCAAGGGCCTAACTTCCCTTGCTGAACAAGCAAGCCGGTGGTTGTAACTGGCTTCCTTCGTGACTCCTACAAGAATGGCCCACAAAATAGTTACACCGAACCCCATTAAACTGCCATTCTTGCACATCAGCCGCCTGTGAATCCTGTGGACATCTGGCTTTCAAGGCCAGTGGGGCCTCTGGAGTGCTGGTAGTAAGTTGCTAAAGCTGGACACGGAAGGCTGCCCTGGGCCACGGTATTGGGGCAGCCACTAAAGAAGCCTTATCTTTCTGAGTCCGTGCTTCTCAAGCAACTTGTTACAACTCAGCATGGACTCAACCCTCATTTCTAAGGCATACGAAGGAAGTCACACTGAACATGGCACGTGCATGCAGAAAACCAGGGTGTTTTACACAACAGATGGCTTGCGGGATAAACAGACGGAGGTACTGGCAGGCAACTGCGGGCGGTACTTACTGTATTCCTTTCCAGTAGAAAGCAATGGAAAGAAACGGAAGGAGCAGAAGTGTTAATGCAGCTCTTTACCGAAAACCAAGCGACTTTCTCAGGGTGACTGCGCAAGGTTCAAACTCACCAAGTGCCACAGGTCAGACAGGAAGGAGAGCCACTGGGGAGAGCATGTCTACAGGGAAGAGCACACTGTCCCTTTCACACAGCAGCTCCACTGGCTAGCACACAGAAACCTCAGAGCCTGTTACCTCGTCTGAAGAGCACACAAGCTCTTCTCCTCAAGAAGCAGTTATACACAACAAACGAATCATTTCACGTCTGTATTTCAGTTTGGAGGACTCCAAATTCAGAAGCTTCACCTACAATCCTTTGAAATGGTTCCTTGTGTCCATTCCCACACTTCCTCCCTCTCATTCAGCACAGATTCCATTACTCTGACCTTGGCTCTACCCTTCCTCCCTCTTCTTCATCCAGTGGTGTCATCTTCCTACTTCTCTAGGTATGTCTTTTGCATTTCTTCCTCTTTAAAATCCTTTAGGGCTTTTTTTTTGAGGGGGTAGCATGAATGTAGTCCCCCTACTACCACAAATTATAAAGTTTTTAGGATTTGGGGGACTCGTAGGGGTCAACACACCCCAAGTATAGTAAAAGAACCTTGCCCTGAGGAAACCACTTCATGATTCTGGAATCTCCCTTGTCAGGCTAAGTACGAGGACTCCTCATAGCTCCCAAGAAAAGATTACATTTTTAAATAATTCTTACTACAGTTTATTTATATATTTATTCATTTGTGTGTATGTATGTATGTATTATGGGTAGAGAGGCATATGGTACAGCACATGTGTGGAGGACAGAGGACAATTTGCACAATCCATTTCTCGTCTTCTTTCACTGTGTGTGTCCCAGGGGTCAAACTTGGGCTGTCAGGCAATAAGTGTCCTTACCCACAGGTATCCTAAAACACCTACCTGCTTCCTTATACTACTATCGTCCCTGACAGCAATAAGCCACACTAACTGAACACAACATGTCATCTGCCCATCTGCATAAGCTATCTTGGCCTGTCCTTCTCCTTCATCTGAGCATCATTCTTGTCTCCTGAGGCTCAGCTCAAGTTGCCAAGCAGCCGTGTGAACCACCATGTGCCCTCCTTTGTATCGAGGCGAGTTGCATACTCTCCTGAGGTTCCAAATCACCAGGAGTATAAGCACGGGCGGAATGGACAAACTGGCTGTGACTGGTGTGCCTGTGTATATCCATTCTACTCCTATAAGCTGAGCTGTCTCTTCATTTTCTAGCAGTCAGTTTACTGGTGTGTGTGCTCTGATGTCTGTATCACCCACTAGGCTTTAAATCCTTGAAAGCAAGGATTGATTATTTTATCTCTGCTGTACTGGCAGTCAGTAACGTCTACATGTTGGGTTAAGTAAACAGTAAAATATTCACCTATGAGGTGCAGTCTTAACACTTATAAAGTTGATATTCACATAAGTAGTATGCTTAACGTAACTGAAAAGTAGCTCTGAAGTGAAAGTCCTTGGATAAGTAAGGTTTGACTTCAGGCCTAAACAAGCACACACACACACGTGCCCAAATACAAATACACATGTACATTACACACACACAGACACACACACACACACACGTGCCCAAATACAAACACACATGTACATACACACACACACACACACACATACACACACACATACACACACACACACACACACAAAGTAGCTATGCAGGGTAGAACATAACCTAAATAACGAATGTCCCATTCTATCGTATCTCCCCAAGTGAAAAAGGACACTGACATTATAAAAACAAGATGAAGATTCTTTACCTCCGCTATGCCTAGAGGAATCCGTAAGCACAACTCCGAAATTGCTGTTGGAAGCCTCTGAAATAACAGGACGTTTAGGGATGCCCACAGGTAGAAAGGATGCCTGGGTGTTTTTTGACGATGTCATTTTTTCTGTAAAGTATTTTTTAAAGAAACAATAAGCCAATAAGAATACATATATATATATAACCAAAACAAAAATTATTATGAAACATAACCAGCTATAAAGATATCTGTGTCTCTGTCTAAACACAATACCTCCCTTTTACTTAGCTCATGTCAACAACTGGGGCAAAATTATTTTGTCTTTCTCTAGTATCATTAAAAGAAAGCTAAATGTCTTTCTTCATGGTACTACTTGAATTGACACGCAGAAGAAACAACTGTGATGTTTGGCTTTGAGGTAAGCTTGCCACAAGTTAGAGTCATCTGAGAAGGGAGCCTTGAGTGAAGAACTGCCCTGCTGTCCTCACCGGTGTGGAAGACCCACCCCAGGCCTTCCAGTAGCAGCTGAGTAGACTCAACCAGCTGCTGCTACTGCTTATTCCAGTGTTTCCAGTCTCATTGCTGACTGAGGACAAACGCTTTCCAGGAACCTTTCAGGTTTTCAGCACCAGACTGGGATTGCTAAGGCCACAATCCTCCTGGCTGAGAAAGTACCAGGTTGTTAGCTCTCCAGTGAGAGTCAGCACTGTGAGGCTGCTCCAACTGCTGAGCCACTGGGCCTCCAGGACCAAGAACCACCCGAGATTCTCAGCCCGAGAGACACTGGTGTTACCACTTAATGTGTGCTAGTTTTAAAAAGTCTATGTCATGTCTATGTCCTTCTTTGTCTATGTCTGTCTATGTATGTCTCTGCCTATGTCTATGTGATTGTGTATATGTCCATGTCTGTCTGTCTATGTGTATATATATATATGTATGTCTGTTTATCTAAGCATGTCTATGTCCATCTTTACCTATGTTTGTCTAGTGTATGTATATATCTATGTCTATGAACTTGTACTGGTTCTGTTCTAGAGAACCTTGACTAATACAACAACATGAGAAAGAAGCCATATAGGGACTTGAACCAAGGTTCTGATTCGACCATTTTCCTTTTTGTTGCATGTATTCATTCCAAAATAATATTTATAATTAAGGAGCTTCTGTTGTTTTTCCACAGAAAAATGCCATACTGACTTTTAATGTTTCAACAAGTAAAAGTGAAATTGGGTTTTTGATTTTTTTTTTTAGTTTTTAAACAGGAACAGCTAGCTATTCAGTGGTTATAGGCCAGACTATAAATAACTAGGACCAAGTGGTGAAAACTAACTGAAGATTCATTTAAAATGGGAAGTACCCAACAGTGACTAAACAAAAGTCCTTTCCCAAAGGCACTGGATGTGTCCTTCCCAATCCTCAGAGGCCACTTACCTTACAGCACTGTGTTATTGAATGTTTGTTTAACTATGGAAAGATGTGTTGGTTTGCTGTTTTACTTTGCCTGCATAAGGCACCTTATGGGTCTAATCAAAAGCTGAGTGACCAAGAGTGAGAGAAGAGGTATAGGCAGGACATCCAGGCAGGAGAGTAAGCAGGAGGAGGAATTTAGACTCAGCAGGGGCCAGACAGACAGACAGAGGAAGCAGAAAAGTAGGACATACAGAACAAAAGGTAAAAAGCCCTGAGGCAAAATGTAGATAAATTAGGAACAGGTTAAATTAAGTTTAAAAAGCTAGTGTGTGTGTGTGGGGGGGGGGGGGGGGGGTGCTGGAGAGATGGCTCAGTGGTTAAGAGCTTTGCTTGCTCTTCCAAAGGTCCTGAGTTCAATTCCCAGCAACCACATGGTAGCTCACAGCCATCTATAATGAGGCTTGGTGCCCTCTTCGGGCCTGCACTGTATACATAATAAATAAATAAATCTTAAAAAAAAATAAAAAATAAAAAGCTAGTGGGACAAGCCTAAGCGAAGGCTGAGCATTCATAATTAATAATAAATCTCCATGTTTTTATTTGGGAGCTAGTTGGCAGTCCAAATTCCACCTACAACACTGGGGTAGAGCATGATTCTTTGGGGTTCTCCTCTCTACTTCTGAATTATTTCCCTGTATTTGGTTCACTCCAGCATGGCCTCTTCTACCTGGACTCCCCTCATGAGATGGTCATCAAGACGATCCTTCTGGAATTCTGTCATGGTGCTGTTCACATTGTCTTTCCCCCACCCTACCCTCCTCCATTACACCTGACTCCATAACTCCAGCCCAAATGTTTCAGCTCCTCCTAGCTCACTGGGCATCACCAGCAAAGACTGGTCAAGTTCCGCAGAGTGCAGTGTGACTCAACCACACTGTCACACAGAGAGACAGACATCGTCCCTCTTTGCTCATCACAGTGGCCCTTTGGTATTTTTGGTATGCACACCAAGCACTTCGTTTCCCCTGATGTGTAAGGGTTTTCTACTTCCCCTTCTCTAAACAACTCACTGCTGACTAATCCTGCCCATATCCCTGGCCAACTGTTTACAATAACTCAGACACTTCCCAAGTCCATCCCTGAAGTTACTTCTTTGTTAACACCATCCCCAAGGTGCTTAGAACTTGAGCACGTGCTCCTCCCACCGAGCACATAAACTCCATAAGATGAGTGTTGTTGATTTTCTGTACTGCCCAATGCACGGACAGCATTTCATAAGTCCCAGAACCAGACTGGACTTTGTCTGGAATGTAAGCTGAGTATGCACTTCACCTTCCTCATCAGAGTGTAAGCTGCAGTGGGTCGGATCTCAGCCTGACTACCTTTGATACACCTGCCGTGCCCACCTTAATGCTGCTGAGCATGAACTGCAAAAATGTGTGTAGACATAATACAACATACATAATACAATACAATACAATACAATACAATACAATGGAATAAATAGTACAACCCCTTAAGTGTAGCCACCAAAAGGTGCTGCAGTATGCATGCATAATGGATTTGTATATTGTATTTCTACTCTCCAACAGGATTCTATTTACTTATTATGTATACAATATTCTGTCTGTGTGTATGTCTGCAGGCCAGAAGAGGGGCACCAGACCCCATTGCAGATGGTTGTGAGCCACCATGTGGTTGCTGGGAATTGAACTCAGGACCTTTGGAAGAGCAGGCAATGCTCTTAACTTCTGAGCCATCTCTCTCCAGCCCTCCAACAGGATTCTTACTAATAAATTGACATGAAGTAGCCAGTTCACTCTGCTGGAAGACGACGCTCACCTTTGCTGGTCCGGAAGGTAAGCATGGCAGGCTGGCCTTCACCAGCTGCACTTCTGGCCACCATTAAAACTTCATACAGACTCGATGGCTCCAGTTCAGTTAGATGCAGCTCGTTTTCACTCCCTGGGACACGAACTGTGTGCCAGTTGCCCACTGCACCAGTGCCGTCATCCAGCTGCTCAAGAGAGACCCAGAAAGTGAGAGATGGCGGGCAAGAAACCTTCCCCCTCATTACAAAACTCTGGTATTCGTTTGCAGAAGTGGTGCACTGTTGTCAGCAACAGATAAAATGCCATTTGTCTTATGAAAAGTATTACTGTCGTTAAATAAGAGGACTTGTTAGATTTTGCTTTAATACAAGCCTGCCTGCAGAAAAAAAAAAATCACCCAGAGAATCTATCAACAGATAGAGAGGGCCAAGCACAACCAAATTAAATAACCAAACCATTTAAAATTCGACTCCCAAGAGGCCAGACTGCAACACGATGGTCATAGACAAGGCCCGAGGGCCTTGCTCTAGCAGGTATCCTTTATTTGACGAGTATTCTACAATCTTAGCAAAGGACAGAACTAAGGTTTTCAAAGCAGTTTACAGGTTTGATGCCCAGGGGGTTAAAACAAGAGGTTTGATAGAAGATGGTTACGTGGTAAGGCTAGAGCCAGAGCTCAGTGGTAATCACTAGCCTCGAGTTCCGTCCCCAGCACAGGGTGGGAAGGAGGGAAAGACAGGGAAATGTTATGGTTACTTTGGATTCATACTTCAATTTGGGGGGTATTTATACTCCATCCGTACTGGTTTTCTAAGATCTGTCAATTTAGCCTGACTGGTGGAGAGACCACCAACAAACTTACTCTAGAACACTCACCTTTCTACCCTCCCACAAACGTAAAACATAAGCAAATGTGTCACACATACACAGGGTTAAGGAATGAGAAATTAAGAATGAATGGTAAGGCTTTACCTTTCGGTACTTCACAAAATAGGCATTGATGGGCAGTCCGCCATCCCTCCCTGCCCTCCACACCAGGTTGTAGGTGTCTGGCATGTGGGTCTGTGGGGGGCTCAGGATGTTAGGAGCATCGGGGACGGAGGCGTTGTTCTCTGCTGGCAGTTCCACTCCACTAGAATGCACCTTCACTGGAAACAAGGGCAGCAAGCTAGACTCTGGAGCATCTCCTGGGTCTCGTTCATCGTTCTGAGTCGCTTCAGAAGGTGTGACCGACTCTGCTTTGGTATTTGTTTCAAAAGGAACTGCATAGAGGGGGACAGGAATAAGGGAAGATGGCTTGAAGAAGTTCACTTTTCCAGCATCTTCTACAAAGTTATATCAGTGCTTATGCTGACATTCTAAGCACAACTTGAATCTGAGACATTAAAACAAGTACCATTTCCCAGCACTCAGGAGTCAGAGGCAGGCAGAGCTCTGTGAATTCCAGGCCAACCTGATCTACAAAGTGAGATCTAGGACAGCCAGGATTGTTACAAAGAAACCTTGTCTCGAAAAATCAAAAAACAAAACAAAAACAAGCCACATTTTACTGTTTCAGAGTGGCATCTAACTTCTATTATCAATCTGTCTACTCATGGGAAAGCAGAGGGATCGTTTGGGGAACCAGTAGCAGGACACAATAGTTGACTAGTGAAAATACTTTCATTTTTACTTAGCTTTGTATTAATATTCAGTTTTTTCAGTAACAATTTAGTAACTCAGTTTAAAAGAACCTGGTAAGTCCGACACAGCCGATGATGCATTCTACTGGGAACAAAGTGACCAAAAAGAACATCGGGAGGGTGAGATGGCTCAGTCGACAACGGCCCAACAACCTGGGCTCCATCTCTAGAACCCACATAGCAGATGAGAAACAACTCTTACAAGTTGCCCTCTGACCCCCATATGTACACCATGGCATGCACACCCATCTCCACATACATGACAAATAAATGAATCTCAGCTTAAGCTTCAGGGAACCCTATTCCTTCTGTTTTTACTTTTGTTCTCAGGGTTTGGCTGCCCCACAGACATGTGCCGGCTGGTCTCGTGCAGAGATTTCATGGACAACAGAAATGGAGATGAGGGCCCACTTCCACAAAAGTCCACAGGAGAGTGAAGCTACTTTGGCTGTGTCCTCTTATAGTCAAGTTACAAATCACTGACGCCAAGCAAGGCAAAAGCAAGAACACCCCATCTGCATCTAGCTAACTAGCAGAACAGAACAGAGTGGGAAGAAACAGCAAAAGGCTGTGCCACTAATCTGAGCAGTCAGTCCTCATTAACAGGTATTGCACTTATGAAGTTTAATCTTAATGAGATCCGGAACCTTCACAGAAGTAAACCTCTGGGCATGCTCATGGGGGAATTTCCAGGCTGAATTAACTGAAGTAGGAAGACCCGTTCCCAAAATGGGTAGCACCAGCACCATTCTATGGGCTGGACGCACAGAATGCCAGCTGGTACCAGCATTTCCAACACCCCTTCATGGCTGAAGATACAATGTGACCAGATAAAATCCCAGCACTGAGGAAGTAAGGTGGGCACAAAATCCCACCACTAGCCAGGAGCTAGTGCCAGGATAACTTCTGGGAGAGGAAGACTCAGGTTTTTTTTTTTTTTTTTTAAATGTTAACCACATAGCAGGGCAGGCCCCACTCCCAAAACTAGCTGGGCAACACAAACTGGACTCGATAAGGGGAAAAAGAAATCTCAAAGTTGGGTGGGAAGTGATGGGAGAGTGGAGGGTCATCATGGGAATAGTTGGAGAAGGGAGGGTGAATATGTTCAAAAAGTGCTATGAAGGTCTCAAAAGAATTAATACAAATATCATTTAAAAATTGACAGTCTAAAGCTTAGCTTCTACAACCAACAGAATTTATAACATATAAAACAAGGTAAAAATAATAATTTTTATACACACAAAGAGGCATATATCCAAAACAACTGAGACCATTTTTGTGCCAAGAATTATACAAGGTATTTAATATGAACCATCTCATTTAATTCTCAGGTAGAGAGGAGACCTTCCCCCTGCTTTAGACGGGAGGTGCTGGAGTTCTGAAACCCTAGGGAAGGGCTGTGGAAGGATGCAGTAGGGTCCTGTGAGAAGAACAGGGGGAGTGTGAGTGAGATCTGCAGGAAAAACGGCTGTCAGTGTAATAAACCCAAGGACCGACAGCTTGGCTTCTCTCCAGTGCTGCTAACACTGACAACAAAAGATGCCGTTATTCACTCCCTTGAGAAGGAAGTGAGCAGAGGAAATAGTTACCCCTACAATGAAGTCAGAGTCCTCACCAAAGGTGGGTGTGATTTTAGAACACACACACACAAAGACCCAAAAGACACAGACTACCAGTGTTAGTATAAGAGAGAAAGGATGTCCTAGAATCATCTCCATCAGAGAAAATAAGAAGCTAGTGTGAAAGGCTGCAGAAGAAAACTAATTACATTCGCTGAGACAACTTGAAAATATTGCTCCTGGAAGGAGTGTGTTTACCTAGTGAGTCAGAATGGAGTGGACATTTAGGGTGGATGTGGTGCCTTCTAGTGCAGAGAAGCGGGCTCTGACAGGAGGGGATTAGCTGTGGCTTGGGTGGTGGGGAAGGACTCTTGTTTCATTAGGATTCTCCAGGCAGCTGACCACTGGGAAGTGGTATCTGGCCACAAAAGCATTTCCATACCATATACCTCGATTTATACAGAAGCGTAAGAGAAACGCTCTTCTGCAGCCTGTCCACTGCAAGAGCATCACAATTCGGTTTCTGTTACTCCTGCAGTGCAATCTGCCACGACTTTTAAAATGGGGGTTGGGGACTAACTAGCATCTACTATTGCAAAGAATATACTTTGAGTAGTTAAAAGGTTATATTAGATATTGTCTGAAGATTAGCCATACAATGCTTTTCATTTTATTCCAAGAAACTCATCATAAATTAAAAATATTAAGTTGAAAAGGTACATTTATATTCCCACCCACCGGACACCATCACTTAGCAACAGCACACTACAGTATTCATGTCTTCCTTGTCTGGAATGGCTGACTGTACTGCCCAGGGTCAGAGTACCACATTCGTCCTGCCAGCCCAGGAAAAGGCCTAAATCCAATTTTTTTTCTTTTGGTTTTTCGAGACACGGTTTCTCTGTAGCTTTGGAGCCTGTCCTAAAGCTAGCTCTTGTAGACCAGAATTGGCCTCGAATTCACAGAGATTAACCTGCCTCTGCCTCCCAAGTACTGGGATTAAAGGCGTGTGTCACCACCGCCCGGCAAATGTTTTTTTCTACTGAAAGTGTACCACTGTTTCTTGAAAACCTGTAGATAAAATCACTGTAAGTTAAGGGTGGATACTTGAAAGTGCTCATCGTTATTATTATCTCAGTTTATCCTCAAACAACACTGTAAAGTAAGCAGAATTCTATTTCCGTATTTAAAAAAATGTTTATTCTTTGTAAATTTGACACATTTATACTTTGCATTTTGATCATATCTGCCTATCACTACCTCTCTCCATTTCTCCTGAGCACCCCCACCCCAGTCTCCCAATTTCATGCCCTCATTTTGGACAGATTTGCTTTGGTTTGGTCCTTTGAGACAGGTTCTCACTCCACAGTCTGGGCTAGCCCTGTTGTTGATTAGAAGCATGAACCCCCCCTACCCCCAGCTTAATGGTAGACTGCTTTTGAATTAGGAAAAATTATAGGCACGTCAATGAATTCAACGAGTCTACACAGAAACTAATGAAACATGGAACACAACCACAGCTGACCAAGGCGTTCCCATGGTGACCATTCACATCCACACCACACTGTAGGACACTGCGCCAGCCCCCATTACAGTTACAGATACAACTCACCCTGTAATACTGTACGTCCAAGACCTCAAAAGCTCAAGGTCTCTGGACAGAGAAGAGAGGGAGGTGTCACCTTGCTTCCAGACCCTACTCTCCCTCTCCACACTAAACAAAGTAACCGAAGCTGAACTGGGCTCAGATTTCTATGCAAAGAACTGTGTTAACATGAAGTATTTGAGCTTTAGCAAACTCAGCTGGGTCGTAATAATTTTCTGGGGCGTGGAATGCCCAGGTGGGTAAGATGTAACTGATGGGGTTGCTGCTCATTAATATGGCATTTACTGGGACAGGATCTGGAGCTTAGGAGACTGTGAAAGATCTAATCTAAGCAAGTTAGGTTATGAAATTTAAGTGTTTCAGACTTCACATATATAAAGTGAGAAAAACAAAATATCTAGTTCCAGTAGCTATAATCATAACATCTACATCTCCTTATGCTGCTGTACATTTGCATAAAATAATCATGCCTGCCACATTCTACCCAGGCAGCTCCTGTGACCTATCAGCAGCTAATAATTCTAAGCTGTGCCACTCCATTTTGCCCAGTGGAATATGTATATACAAATGCATCCACATATATGCACATACATACTCATATGTCTGAATGTATGTATGTAACATTCAACTGCCTCTACTTAAGATTACTAAAGTAAGTAACTACCTTTTCCTGCAACAAATATCACAATGAATAACTATAATTTATGAGTAATTAGATAGCAATAACTGTAACCTGATATGTTATATTGTGACACTGTAGCACCTGTAGCACCATTCTAACAGCTTTCCTGGCCTCTTAGACTCGCATGTGAACAGGACGTCAGTGACCCAGATCGGGAAGCAAGCAGAGTTCAGCAGCCAGTCCACCTCTCACAGCCATGGCGAGCACATGTGAGAGTGCAGGCCCTAGCTTTTCCACACTTCTCTTCTAGCCTCTGGGTTCACCCAGAGCTAGAGACCCTGCTTACATGAGAAACAGCAATGCTAACACCCAAACTCTAGCACCAGCGCTATTCTGCCAGGACCACCCTAAGGTTCCTCCTCTGCCTTAAGGACATCTATGAATGACAGGAGAGGCAAGAACACCCATGAAAGCCTGGACTGGGAACTAATTAAAGCGGGGAATTCTGGAGCCCCACAGCCGCTATCTGCAGAGAAGAACATGAACTCCAGGATAAACACTGAACTGGATCCCACTTTATGACCAGAAAAGACATCAGAGGATCCAGGCAGAAAAAGGTCACATGAAACCCTAAAAGGAGTGTGTGCCTAGAGCAGAAACCTGTGTCCCTGTAACAAGCAGTACTGGATAGCCTACCGTGTCTCAGCGAACACAGCAACAACCTACTCATCTGACTTGAAGGCTTAACAAACCAACTCAGCCATCTGCTGACTGAACCTTGGGGAGCATTGCTTTACGTGTCCACTGAAGTAAGGTCAGACTTTGAGTACTTCAAAAGTCATGTGAAACCACTAAGTCATCATCATCATGACAAACCAAGAGCACAGAAATTCTACTAATCATCCCATTAGGAACATAACTTACATCGCCACATATGGGCATTTGATAGGACCATACGTTTACATACAAGCCAACCCTTCATACCTTAAATCTTGCTTCTCAGGTCGCCTCTGAAAACTACATGAAATAATCTCCTCAGTACTTCACAACCCAAAGCCATTAGTCACAAAGACGGATTGTACTTTGAGCTCATTCCCAAGTAAGACTTAAACAAGAAATGGAGACCCAGGCAGGCCCACCTGGTTCCTATACAGCAAAACACCCCCAAACACGGCCCTATATTTCATTGCCACAGGGAAAATACACATTCATTAAAATAACATCTCAAATCATCGTTTCCCCACTATAAAAGGCAGTGTTGTACTGAGAAGACCGCCGAAAGCGACTCACCGACTGTGAGGAATGCTTCGGACCGTGTGGCGCCGTGTTCGTTAGTGGCTTCGCAGGTGTATTTCCCAGCATGTTCCTGAGTAACTGCCTGAATAGACAGAGAGCTTGAGCCAGCTCGGGACATGATGAAGTAGACAGGCTCCAGGTTCGGGTCCCTGTGTCGGAGCAGGTGGGACTTTCGGGACTTGGACCTAAGGACCTGAGATGGATGGCTGGTAATCAATCCATGGCGGCCATACCAATGAATGACTGGGACAGGCACTCCAGTGGCATTGCAAGACAAGGTCACAAAGTCTCCGTCCGTCACCTCTACGTTTGCCGGTGCCGTGACTATAACAGGCTTTAGTCCACTGTCTATTAGAAACACAATTCACAGAATCAAAACGAGGAACACGATAACATCTGCTCTTTAAAGTAATTTCATCCAGTTGCTAAAACGATACTGCAAAGATATCCCCTCCGATTGGCTCCCTTCTTGACTTTCGCCAAGTAAAATTGACAGTGGAAAAATACAATGTTTCAGAGCCAGGAGAGGCACTCACCACCAAGCCTGACAACCTAAGTTGGATCCCTGGAATCCACTTGAGATCTCTTCCAACCATGTAGGTTCCAGGGATCCAACTCCACATACACACACACACAAATCAACATAATTGAGGAGTACAGAGGAAGCCCCAAGTAAATGTGTAAGGAGAGGATGGAATCCTGAGTGAACGTGTATTATTGACAAGTACCTCCATGCCTCAGACCCATAGGAACTGGCCAAGCCTTGCTCTGGTCCCTGTGCCAATGTTGAGTGTGTTCAAAGAACAAAGAACTGCAGCTGTGTCGCCCTGGATGACTGCAACCTGAGACTGCTCCCCTACAGAGCCTCCTACTGAGACCAGCTAACCCCCATGCTGTGCTATACAAATAGAGGCACTGAGTTTCTGGGTTGTTGCATCTTAGGGGTTCTCTATTAGAGCACACACAGCCCATCCAAAGCCAGCTTTTCTGTCTGTGTGTCTGTCTGCCTTTTCTCCATTCCCTTGCCACCTGTTAGGCTTCCAATATCAGGTCATGCATGCATGATGTTGTGTGTAATTTGGGGGAGAGCAGTTTTTTTAAGACAGGTTTCTCTGTGTATCCCTGGCTGTCCTGGAACTTGCTCTGTAGACCAGGCTGGCCTCAAACTTAGGGATCCACCTGTCTCTACCTTCTGAATGCTGGGATTAAAGGCATGAGCCATCACACCAGGCTTGCAGTGTATAATTTTTAAAAAGTATAATCTTTCATAATTGTAGGTTCCTCAAATTCCCCACACAGATTCTCTATTCCCCTGAAAGAAATGTATATAAACAAATCTACTAAGATTCCAGTAGGTACACAATGCCTACTTGACTGCAGTAAAGACAGAAGAGGTGAAGCCAGAACCTCAGACCATAACGTGAAAAAAGTAAAGAAGGATAAACCACATAATACTCCTTCAAGAAAATGGATGGTTCTGGTGAAATCCAATTAGAGAAAATCTGAGAGGAAGAAAACCTATTTTAAGTGAAAACTGGCATACTATTTATCATGGACACGAACAGCATTTTTGTTTCTAAATCAAAATGGCACCAAGTCTTCCCTTCTAGTTCTGGATTTTTTTCTGAAGAGATTTTTAAGTGAGGCCACAATAAAATATTGGTCATCAGAGAAGACATTTTCTCCCAGCATGCTTCTTTTTCTACAGACCTATTTACCATGTCTGACAAAACTAAAGACACTCCATCTTCACAGATTTCTGAATCTTTGCCAAGTGAATGAGTATGAACGCTCTGACGAGCCCTAACATGCATGTCCCTGAGGACTGATGAAGCTGAACATCTCCTGGCAGGTTTATGTGCCATTCATAAATGCTTTACATGACTTGCTAAAACGTTTGACTCAATAGATCATACAAATACCCTCCAACCCAGTCCTCAAAAACTTTCCCTTGTGAATTTATCTTTATGTTCCGTGTGAGTTAGAGATTCAATTTTTGCTTTCTGTTTTCATTTTGATAATTACCACAAGTCAAAACTTGAAGCAAATATCCGCTATGGGGTATACAATACCAGTTCAGTCAGGTCCTTCCAAGTAAATCTATTTTCATCAGTCTCTGCCATGTCCAAGAGTTTATTTGTTCCTGTAGCAATCTAACTTTTGAAAACTGTACTGGCTTTTTATGCTTACAGCAAGTGCCCCATGCTTTTAGAGTATATTAGCTACTCTTGGGCCTCTGGTTATCTTTATACCTTTTATAATCATTTTCTCAAGGGTACACACACATACACAAACACACACACACACACACACACACACACACACACACACACACAGGCACATATACTCTCATGTAACCCAAGGTGGACTCAAATTCCTTATGCAGTCAAGGATAACCCTGAACTCTTGATCCACCTGCCTCTACCTTCCAAGTGCTGGTGTTACAGGCAGATGCCATTAAAGCCCAGCTAAAGTCTTCAAACTATTCTGATAAGATTTCATTTGAAGCAGCAAAAATCTACAGAAAAGTCTGAAAAGACCAGATAACTGTATAACTGCAAGTTTTGCTACCCATGACCTAGAATGTCTTTCTATGAAACTTTGTTACTAATATAAAAAGTGATTCTTAAATAATATTTTCTGTTTGCTGCTAGTATACAGGAAGGCAAATGATTTGTGCTTATTTAGGTCTACACCTAATTTCTTCCTAAATGTTAATATTTTAATCAGAAAATGTATAATAAATAAGAGCTAGCAAGCACTGTGGATATTATACAATGGCAATGTTGGTTATAAATTAATAACTATTTGGATTATTTCCTTCTAATTTCTTTGTCTTGGTTTGGTTTTTGGTCTTTTAAGACTGGGTTTCTCTGTAGCTTTGGAGTCTGTCCTGGAACTTGCTCTGTAGACTAGGCTGGCCTCGAACTCACAGAGTTCTGCCTGCCTCTGCCTCCCAAGTGCTGCCTAGCAAGAGCACTTACTCTTTTTTTTCTGTGTTTTTTTTTGTTTGTTTGTTTGTTTTGTTTTGTTTTTTTGGGTTTTTTTTTTGAGCAAGTTTTTCTTTGGAGCCTATCCTCCTTCTGATTTCTTTTGTTTCTTTCTGTCCTGGCTGAACTCTCTCGTACATGGATACCTAGAGTAAACTCTAAAGAGGGTACCTTTTACACTTTCATGGTAAGAGATGTTTTATCCAAGTCCTTGTTAGATACCTTTTATCAAGTTCTACTCCCATTTTTCTGTCAATTTTGTCTCATTTTTCCTACTCTTTATGAAATAATGATGGTTTTTCTCCTTTATACAGTAAACAAGGTGAACAATACTGTTTTCATATATATATATATATATATATATATACATATACATATATATATATATATATATATATATATATATATATAATTTATACGTTCTTGGCTTGGCTTCCTGGTATATTATTTATGATTCTTATGACTATGTTCACAAATAAGACCTGATTTAGCTCACTTTCTTATCCCACCCTGCTGTGATTTGGGACTCAAGACTGTACTGACTGGAGGTTTTCCATTGCCCCCTTTCTCTGGGAGAGTTGTGTAATATCTGGAAAGGTCTATTACTTGCAAATTGGTAGAATCTACAAAACCATCTGGTCTGGTGTTTTCTTTGTGGGAGGAATTTAACTCCTAATTCAATTTCTGTCAGAGCTGGAGAACTGCTCAGGCTTTTTATTTACTTTAAGTCAGAGCCTTGCTAAGTTCTAGTTTCCCTTCGTTTTTACACATGTTATAGTCTGAATCCACAAAAGCCCATGAGTTGAAAGTTTAGTCACCAGCCTGCCATGAGTAACAATGAAATCTGAACAAGACGGGGCCTGGTTGAAAAGAAGTTAGGATGCTGAGGGTGTGTCCTTTGAGGGAAGACTGGGAACGCCCACACGTGCGTGCACACACACACACACACACACACACACACACACACTGTCCGTCTCTCTGCTTCCCAGCCAGGAGGTAAGCAAGTCTGTTTCAGCACTTCCTTCAGCCATGACCCACTCACTGTGCTGCCTGCCATAAGCCCAAAGCAACAGGCCCAAGGACCAAGTCTAAAGCTATGAGCTACCATAAAGCCTTCTCTTTAAACTAATCACCTCAAGTATTCTGTCACAGTGGTAGGAAGCTAACACCACAGCTCTGCTTATATTTGTAATCTACTGCCCTAACAATTACTTTAATACTTTTTTAATCTCTATAGTGAGATTTACAACTCCCCCCCCAAACTGTCCATTTATACCTATTTCTTTACTTAGTTTTGCCAACAATTGGTCCACTTTATTAGACTTTACAAAGAACCAATTTCTATGCTTATTAATCTTGTGCTTCACCTTTCTTTGATGCTTTCTGCTCTTGGCTTTGCTTCTCTCGTCCTCTGCTTTCTTTGAACCTACTCTAATGTTCCTTTGATTTACTTAATAATTTTCAACCTCACTCGTTTTCTTTGGTAAGCACACAAGACTATAATAGCCCTAAATTCCATGCTGGCCGTCTTCCCACAGGACATGACTGATTGTGCTGGCTAGTCTTACGTTAATTTGACACAAGCTAGAGTTATCTAAAAGGAGGGAACCTCAATTGAGAAAATGCCTCCAAAAGATCCAATTGTAAGGCATTTTCTTAACTAGTGATTGGTGAGGAGGGCCCAGCTCATTGGGGGGTGACACCAATGGGCTGGTGGTCCTGGTTCTGTAAGAGGGTGGACTGAGCAAGCCATAGGAAGTAAGCAGCTCCCCTCCATGGCCTTTGATAATTATGATAATTATGAAGGGAAATTTGATAATAGCATCTATTAAAATTTCTAACATATATATATATATATATATATATATATATCGTCTTATTTTGCAAGCTCCCTTCTAGGAATTTCTTTTAGAGATACTCGCACATATGCAGAATAATTAAGACACTCATTACACCTCAAACAGCTATCAAGAAGATGCTAGTCAAATTTCTGCAACTATAAAATGGAATAGTAAGCAGCCAATTTTCTTAAAGAATAAAAATATGCTTTGATGTGCCATGTGAGAAAAAATTCAAACTATAGGTAAAGTAAAACTTTTAAAGGAAAGAATTCTGCTGCTATTTATGTTTTTAAAAGACAATAAAAACATATACACACACAAACACACCTGTGGTATATAACTGCTTGCATATGCACATAGAAGGCTATTCAAGAAACTAATAAAACCAGTTGGTTCTAAAGAAAAGACTTTCTGACCGTTAGATGCTGGCAGGAATAAGGAGAGCAATTTTGTTGTTTGCATGTTTGTTGTGGTATCACTTGTGTGCCTGGTGCCCACATAGTCCAGAAGAGGGTAGTGGATCCTCTGAGGCTGGAGTTACTCATAGGGTGCTGATTGCTGGGTGCTGAGTAGTACTAGGTGCTGAGAGCTGAGGGCTGGGTGCTGAGAGCTGAGGGTTGGGTGCTGAGAGCTGAGCCTGGGCCCCCTTGGAAGGGCAGCTGTTAACCAATGAGCCATCTCTCTATCACAAAACAATTTTTTAAATGAACTTGATTAAATAAGACAGCTTTATCATGGAAATGCCAGTCTACCACTACAAAGATCATGAAAAATATGGTTCTTATATGGTAGTAGGATTATTTTCTTTCAATAACATAACTTCATTTCTAATTACTGAACAAGCCTACCTATGAAGGAAAATTGCTTGTGATTACACAACTTAAAAGCACACCTTGTTCAATTTGAAGTCTTCCAGTAGACTGCATGAATCCAATCCCATTGTCTGCTACACACTGATACAGCCCAGAGTCTTCCATGGTAACCCTGGTGATCTTCAGTCCGTTTCCTTCAGCTAGGTGCCGTGGGGAGGGGCGAATAGGCTGTGCGTTATGAAACCAGGTGCGGTTGGGGGCTGGGTTCCCGTGAACATCACAGGTAAAATGCACAGTGGCCCCCAGAGACACTTTCTGATCCTGTAGTCCTTTAGAAATTGAAGCATGCTCTGTAAAGAAAGCAGGCGTGTTTCACTACCACACAAGTCATGGAGCACCCGTCTGTAGCGTTGAGTGTGAAATCCCTCTGTGTCCTTTATTGACACTCCCATCTATGTGGTCAAGAAACACTAAGAAATCCACTTTAATGTTCACCAGCAGAATAAGTATAGTGCTACTAAGTTAGAATCTTTTTTATATTGGCCCACCCGTTTTATACCTCGTGTGCATGTGCACATGCGTGCACGTGGACACACACACACATTTCTACCCTGCTCTTCTCTTAACATTTAACATTACGTAATAGTTTCTCTAGATCGTACACCAAACAGGAGACAACAAAGCTTTATTCAAAATGAGAATCTTTTAAATGCATCAAATAATGCTTTTGTTTTAAGTTCTGATGATGGGGCTGTTGTGACCACCACTAAAGAGCAGCAGCCATGGCCCTGGGGTACCTCTGGCTGTGGGTCTTAACAGGGGCCAAAATGGATGAAGAACATCAGCAAGCCAAGCCATAGCTGGTGCATCAGGGACCTCACCAAACACAACCAATTTGTAGGCCACATTATCCAGGATGTGTGTGGCATCCTGTTAGCTGCATGGCTATGACATTGCCCAAGGTCCCCAAGCCAAGGCTTTCAAGTTCAGTCAGAAGAGGGTAGAGGTGCATATCCCCGTGAAGAGGAAGCACTAAGTGGACTAAACCTACCCAGCCTCACTATATAAATCCATAAATTCTGTCTGCAGTCAATTCTACTTTGACACTATATGAATAACAGGCAAAATACTTTAGTTTCCACAGAGCTTTGTTCTGAGACAGCGCTGCCTCTATGTACTGGCATTTGCCATGGAGACTATGCCAGCTTCACAAAGATCTGCCTGTCACTGGCTCCAGTGCTGAGATCAAAGGTCCGAGCTGGGACTCCTGGCTTAAAGTCACTTCTTAGTCTTGAAAGTACGTCATTCCCCAACACTTTCAGTATCTGCCCCAAATAAGCAGTGATCGTATTAATCCAGTTCCGATTACCACTGGGTTTAGAGTTTTCGGGGAACTTTTTGTTTGGTTGTCTGGTCGGTTTTTCTGGCACTGGCAATCAAAGCCAAAGTCATGCATGTGTTAGGCTACTCTAACACTGAACTGTACACCCAGCCCCATCACCAATTTTTAAAGCTCACTTGCCATATTTATATTAATCCCAGTGTAACTAACCTACATCAGGTTATGAGTATAAATCAAATGTAAAAAAAAAACATTTACAAAAGTCCTATTTAACAAGACCAGTTCCTATTCATTTCTTTCTAGTTTTCAGAAGACTCTGTTTTGATGAAGGAAACATTTTCCAATGCTACAGGATAATGATGGCAGCTGCTGACAGCAATGGTTCTGAAATAAAGACTATCTACAGAAATGGGGAAAGATTTTATCAGCCAAACATAACAAAAAGGTAAGAAGTAAACAGCTGGATTTCTTTGTGAGGTGATACCTCTAGTCAGTTCCATCTTAGCTGCCGCTGAAGGACCACACACACACACATGCACACACACATGCATGAACACACACACACACACACACACACACACACACACACACACACAGGCACACCAAGCTCTCCCCACGTTCCAGCTACCAGTGTAGATATTTCTTAATATTCTGTATCTCATTTTTAGCTCACAAATATCCATCCAACATCAGTTAGACCAGGAAAATGATGTGACTTGAAATGAAATCTCTGTATTGAATAAGTAAGACCTTACCCAGAACATTGACCATGTAAGTGACGTGTTTAACATCTCCAGACTTGTTGCCCACCACACACGAATAGTTTCCCGAGTCTGCTGGGTCAATGCTAGCCGTGGCAAGATGAGAGTAAAGCCTCCTCCAGTTGCTTCCTGACACAGCATCCTGTCCATCCTTCAGCCAATACACCTGTGAGGCCGGGACCCCACTCACCACACACTCCAAGGTAACAGGGCTGTGCGGGAGGACAGACAATGCCTGAGAAAGAGCAGGGTGAAGAATGTGAAAACCGTCTGCTGAGGAAGGGCCTGGAAAAGGAAGGGAACACAAAGCGGTATTAGAAATGACTATTAGAAATCCACCTTCTCCCTTAGCTGATCTGTGAACACCCCAGGAAGCTGCTTCCATTTCCAACAAGTCCATGGGGGCTAGAGAGATGGCTCAGTAGCTAAGAGGACTTGTTATTTTTGCAGAGGACCCAGGTTCAGTTCTCAGCACACACATGATGGCTCACAACCATCCATAAATCTAGTGCCAGGGAATCTGATATACCCCTTGGGCATCCAGCACACATGTGGTGCATACACATACATATGCAGGCAAAACTCTCATATGCATAAAATAAATAGCTCTTTAAAAAATAAAATAAAAGCAAGTATAGTCCTGTTAAGGGCACTGGCTGCTTTTACAGAGGTCTCAGGTTCTACTCCTAGCACTCAAGTTAAGGTTTACAACTATCTATTTATTTCCAGAGGATATGATGCCCTCTTCTGGCCTCTTGAAGACCAGGTATGCACATGGTGCACAGACATACATAAGGGAAAATACCCATACAATAATAATAATAAAATAAAACCAGTGTTGAAAAACATGCTGAACTCTCTTTTACCAAGGCTTCCTGAGCCACACTTGTGAGGAATCTTCCTTCCCTAGCCACCAACATTCTCCCAGATACTTACGACTCACAAGGAGCTTCCGGCCAATGGGTTCAACCTTCAATTCGCTGGTGACAGGATTATAAGCAGCACATTTGTATGATCCCTTATCCTTCGAGGACACATTCAAAATCTGAAGATTTCCCGAGGGGAGGATTACGTAGTTCCCTGGGGAAGGTAGAGGGATGCAGTCAGGGCTACAGATGCAGCTCAGTTTGTAGAACCCTTGCCTGACACAAAGCTGGGCTCAACCCCAGCACCCATCATATGAAATCAGGCACAGTGGCACATGACTATAATTCCAGCACGAGGGTGGTAGAGGAAGGAGGACCAGAAGGCCAAAGTCATCCTCACCTACAGAGCTCCAGGCTCTATAGACCCCTACCACACACCTGGAACTAGCAGAGACTGCTGAGATTCACACAGAAGACTGGCAGCAAATGTGCAGCCAAAGAAGCATTATTACCCAAGAAAGGAAAGTCAAGCCCAACCGTGCTTATACAGCAAAACCTTCAGCAGACAGTCAGAGTCTGAAACACAAGAACATCATTTGGACAAAGACGTAGTAAACACATCTTGACCTATGGCCACCGCAGTGTTCAGTCACTGGCTACTCATCACGCTTCTTAGTAAATGCACACGGAGTAGCTATTCTCCGCCAGCCATGGCCTGGCACACATGCCATAGCAATGAGGAAAGCAAAATCCCTGCATTAATGCATTTGACATTCCAATAGGCAGAACGAGGTGGCAGATAAAGGGACGACTAACAAACAAAACATACCCAGCTTACGCCAGGTGTGATAAGCTCTACCAAAGAAAGGGGAAGAAAGTGACAGAGCATCTTGTCTATACACATCCATGTGGTCCATCTCCTCTAAGAAGTAGCGTTTAAATATGGCCCTAAGTGGTTGAGGAGCGAGCCTTTGGGGTCAGCCGTCTAATGTAACCACGTGCCCTGGCCTCTGAGAGCACATCCCCAACAGGACTCACCTGTGGAATACTTCAGCCACTTTCCCCGGATCTTATAGCGCACCTCGGCTTTGGGGTTGCTCTCTGGTACCCTACAGCCAACAAAACCCGTATTCTTCTCTTCTGCAGTAATAACATGCATTGTTGATGGATCGAAGTCACCAAGAGCTGAAATAAACAAGGAAACAAAGGAATGTAAAATAATTGAAAGGAAACTTAAAACTTAGAAACAGAGAATGGCCTTTTGTGGCAGCTGATACCAGTTCCCAAAATAGCAGGAATAGAAGGATCTTTTGTTGTTGTTGTTGTTTTGTTTTGTTTTTTGAGACAGGGTTTCTGTGTAGCTCTGAACTGGAACTGCTTTGGTAGATCAGGCTGGCCTCAAACTCACAGAATCTGCCTGTGCTGGGATTAATCCCAGATATCTGTGTACCTCTGCCTCCCGAGCTTTGGAACTAAAAGTATGCACCACCACGCTTTTAACCAAAAAATTTACTTTTTGACAGGTCTCATTATACATTATGCAGCTTAAGCTAGCCTTGAACTTGTGATCCTCCTGCCTCAGTCTCCCAGTTGCTAGGATTACAGGTGTGCACCACCACACGCAGCAATGAGAGTTTCTCATCTGAGAAAGGGGCTGCAGCAGAGGTGAGTGGTTGAGGGATGCAGCTAAGTCAGGGCACACAGGTTTTCCCTTCAGGGATCTGTAAGGAAAACAAACTGACCCAAAACACCAGAGAGAACTGTAGAGCACACTTACTCCCACTCTGTCAAGATGAATTCTTCCCTGTCCAGAGGGGTCTTCATCAAAACTCACTTTCCCTGCAATAAAGCGGCTTCTGGGAATGAACCCAGGACATTATAAAACACGGCAGCCCACTGAGCCTGGAAGCATCGGCTTGGTATTGATTCCTTTCAGTTTAGACAGTTCCCTGTGGACTGAGCGGGCCCTTTATTATCCCCACCGCCCAAGGACGCCAGCTGCCGGCCTCCAGGAAATCAACCCTCCAGTGTGTGTCTTGGAACTGCGCATGGGTCACAGCTCTACAAAAACATTTACTCTTCTCAGTTATGACAAACTCTCTACTCCAGGGGAATCCAGATTTGTTCTGTAAATAGGGGTGCCCTCACAAAGCCGTTTTCCATTACTGGAAGCCATTGCCATTTGAAAGGCAGATGGCTCAAACTTACCAGGGAAAAACCACGCATTCCAGATTTTCCATGAGTTCAATTCCTCACGTTCCTTTCTCTACAGTCAGTTTTCCCCCCTCCCCCCCCAGCTTCTTTAGCCTGGCTTCAATTACATAAATTAAAATCCCCTGGTAATCAAGGGAAATAAAACAATTAGATGTGAAAGAAAGATTGAGGACTGCATGAAATAAATGAGTGTCAAAAGTCAACTTTTTTTTTTTTGGCCTGTACTGATATTAAGGAGTTTAAAATAGATTCACAAGGATATTGCCCATAATTCACAATAGAAAACTGCCCTGTGCTAATTTTTAAAACAAAAATCACTTCCACACTATTAATACAGATTAAGTAACAAGGCTGGGCTATAGAGGTTCCAGCATCTTTCCCCAACTATTCAAAATCAAGAGGAGGTTAGGATAAGAACTCTCAGACCCCTACATGTATGGCATCAGTGCCCAAGGTTTTCCCACTATGGAAATTGCGAGAACGAAGAGAAAACCCATAGATTTCAAGACAAACAACAGGTAACAAGGTTCACTGTAAACTCACCTGCAGTGGACACTGTTGCAGGGCCACTCACAATAGCACCAATGCTGTTGTTGGCAATGCACCGGTAGCAACCAGAAAGGGAAGGGTTAAGAGACAGAATTGTCAAAGTCCCTCGATGAATCTTAATCTGTTCCGTGTTTCTGTCCAATTGTTTCCCATTGTGCAACCATGAGATGCGGGCAGTAACTGGTTTAGCAGAACAATGTAGGACTACGGGTCTACCAAGCTTCTGGACCGCAGAGAGTGGTTCAGAAATAAAATAAGGTGCCAAGTCTGCAAGGGAACATTCCCGTGTGCAAAAGAAGAAAGAAGGAGAAAGGGGAAGAAAGCAGAACAAGAAAGTATATTAAATACATTTCAGCTGAGTCTATAACTAAGGCCATCTCTTATCTCTATATGTGGTATGGAGTTCTTAATGCTTATTAAAAAATCATAAGCCCATCTTAATCTCAAACTCACAAAGATCCTTCTGCCTCTGCCTTCCAAGTGCTGGGATCAAAGGTGTGCCACTATGCCAGGGCCCTAGAGTACTCTTAATACGTAATAAATGCTACACAATGATTACACATTACTACACATATATATCCACCATCACATAAGTATAAAGCCAAAAGACTGAGCTGAAGAAAGACTTCACCCAAAGCCCCATCATTCTCCTCTTACCTGAACTCACAGAAGAAAACAGAATCACAAGAACATACAGCAGTGTCCATAAAGGTCCGAGGTCTGGATGCATAGCGCCCAATTACAGAAGTATGCAGGGATGACTTCCAGAGAAAGCCCAGGCCTCAGCTCACTGGAAAACATGAAGGAAGACAATCTAACCACAAGAACCACTAACATCTTTAAACTGAACCCTTTATCTTAGACTCTTCATGATCCATGTCTTCTCAACCCACACACACATCTGGACACTAAACTAGGGTTAGAAGCTCTGCTCTTCCTTCCAAGGGACTAGGATACTTTTTACTAGGGATGACTCAGAACTGATGGATAACACACTGGAGTGGGTCAAGATGGAAGATGAAGTGCCATCAGGAGACACTGAACCCTTGGGAGACAGATAAGGGCATGGTGAGTTGTGAACTGTGACAATGACAAGTGGATTCAGGACAGTCTGAAGCAGAGCCAACGAAAGCACAGGCACAGAGATGAAGTATGAGTGTGCTGCAGGTATGTCCAGGATAACGCTTGGGTTTGGGTGTAAAAGAGGAAAGAATGCCCGTTTACTAAAGAAGAAAAATCCAGAGAAAGGGATTCAAAGTGAGGAAGGAGTCTACTGGATATCCAGCTGCTCCCAGGAGGTCCAGAGTTGCTTAAATGAGTCTGGAGTCATAGGGAAAAGTTAGAGCTGAGAATGTAGATTTCAGAAGTTAAGAAAGTCAGGCACGAGCTCAGACTCTTCTATGAAATACATGCTTAGAGCACAAGACATTTCCACCAAGGACCTTGGAGCAGTGGGAGTGCAGAGCAATGAAAGAGATGGAATCCAGGAGAAAACTCTTTCCAGTCATCGCTGTCTTAAACCAGGTGAGAAGCAGAGCAAGTCCAGCTGTCATCCGAACGGTGCAATGCAGACGGCTCATAACACTGACAAGAGTAGGTCAGCAGAGAAAGGCTAACTTAGCGGGAACCATAAGGGAGCAGGCAACAATGAGGAAAGAGGAGAAAGACTTCCCAAGTTTTGCCATGCAGCAGAAAAACAGGAAGAAAATGGCGGCAGACAAATGAACAATTCTGACAGACGCCACCCGAGGGAAGGGTTGCTTCTGGCTTGTGTTGCTTTTCTTTTCCCTTTCTTTTCCTTTTCTTTTCCTTTTCTTTCCTTTCCTTTCGGCTGGAGACAGTACAGTACACTTAGAAAACGTTTAAGAAATCCATAAATCACAGGACTGGCAAGGACATGGAGACAAATCACCATGCATGTGATGGGTGGAGGAAGAACTAATGAGTTCTTTTTGGAGACAATATATATGTATGCATGTATGTATGTATGTATGCATATGTGTGTATGCATGTATGCATTACCATTTATTTATGCAACAAATATTTTTGATTATTTATTATGTAGCAGATACCATCCTAAGGGCTAGACATAGGGCCGTTTCCATTACAAAAATAAAAATAAATAATACAGACATAAATTTAAACTTTACATTCTAATAGGAGGAGTGGACAATGAGCAAGATAAGTAAGTTTTAAAATGTCTGTGCATCCTCCAGATATTGCTAAGTTCCTACTTTGCTCTCACTTTTCCATGCAACATTCTGTTTCCTCCTTAAAAGCCAGCATATTCAATATAAAATTCTACTTTCTAGAAACACTATAATGTCCCTTAAAACGAAAGTACTACTTTAATATAACAAAATACCCATATGTGCAATCATAGTTAATAAAAACTGATTTCTGAACAATTCTAGCTACATTTTTTGTTCCTTCATTTAGTCACTGGTGCATCTAATTTTAAAATCGGCATAAATCTATAAACATCTCCCCACACACACACCATGCGAGGTATTATGCTGGTCAAGGTTATCAGTAACCACTGCAGATCCTGCCCTGCGTCCCTGCTTGGCCGGGGCTGTAAACAGAGTCTATGACTCTGGAGTACAAGACAGAATGGCCAGCTACATTAACAACCCATTAGGAATACAAAACAAAGTGCTGAGGGTTCTGGAATCGTGTCTCCGTGCGCTCCTGTTTCTCCTGCTCCAGAGTCTGGAAGCTTACAAACCTAAGCTTGTCTAGATCCCTAGCACTCATGGGCAGGAGGGATCAGTGGTGTGGAAACCTTCGGTTTCATTTCAATTCTCCTAGTTTACAGCTAAGGACAGACACAGCAGCAGCATGAAAGCAGAGTAAACATTCATAAGACTTGGTAACAGGAGACACTCTCGGAGCAAATGTGCACACGGAGGATGGCTTCTTCCTTCTGTCAAATCTTTCTCCGACCATTTATTTACTAGAAGGCAGCAGCGTGGATTTTACAATAAACTTTAACCCTCACTCACGACCTAATTTACAGCTGCTCTTTGAAGTTTCACAGCTCATTATTTCTACCTAAACACGACCACACAGAAGTCTCCCTGATAGAGCCTACGGGCTGCTCGTCTATGCTTCAGACAGGCTCTCAGTGTGCGCTCAGGGCTAGCTCTAACTACGTAATCCAGGCTAGCCTCAAACTTGCAGTGATCCTCTGTATCTACCTCCTTGGCGCTGGGATTACGGGCAAGATCTCATTTGATCTTGGAAGTTAGAAAGAAGCTATGACCATAAGAGGCACTTACTAAACATCGGTGGGCTCTACCACACAGCTCAGTGGTAGAGGACTATGGTGGTGATGTCATCTATGGGTCCGGTGAATTGTCCTCTGCAGCAATGGATTCTCACCTCATCACTACATGTGTGTGTGTGCATGTGCGCACACACATGTATAATCTAACTAAATTACCCTTTTTGGATAGTTATTTTAATATAAAATGTACGTGTGTATATACACGTATATATCCCAAGAGGACATGTGCACATACATCTCATGTGTAGGAACGAATTTCATCCATAAAATGTTTAGATACTCTTTTAATTATGTGTCCTGAGGTTATATTCTTGGAAGCAGAATTCCCACATCCAGGATAGAAACATTTTAAGGATTTTTACATACATATATATATATCATCAAGGCGTTTTCTAAGAAGCCACAGTACAGCACATTTCCAAAACCACCATCAGCACAGGAAGGTGACTCCTCCCTCCGTTTAAGGTGCAGATCCATGTACTACGTAAACCAAATGTGAATATGAAACATAAGTGCTCCACTCACTAAAGAACCTGACATTCCAGTCACATTAGTCACACTGTTTACCTTTGACCTTCCAGTGACAAGAAGATCATGGTATAAAAATCTGATTTTTACCCTAAATCCATCAAAAAGGAGGATAAAGAGTCACTGTAGTTACTGTGTGGTTTTAATTTATAACATGTATTCTTCTAAAAATAAATTTATATGCAAAAATTATCTGTTGGCATTTAAAATGTTAAACTTCTGTTCAAGAATATATTCTTAGGCTGGAGAGATAGCTCAGTGGTCAAGAGCACTGTTGCTCTTCCAGAGGACCCAGGTTCAATCCTCAGTACCCACATCCTCAGCACCCACATGGCAGCTCACACCTGTCTATAACTGTCCCAGGGTTTTTGACACACTAATACAGACATATACACAGGCAAAACACCAATGAAAATAAGAAAAAATAAAATTTTATAGATATACATACCTATATAGAGACATATTTGTACATATATGTGTGTGTGTGTGTATATATATATATATATATATATATATATATATATATAGCCTCCCTCCCATAGTGCTTTTTTTTTAGTCTATCCACCATATATGCATATACAATAGAAGTACACACACACCTATTTTCCTAACTTAGGGAGGTAGTAAACTAAACTAGGCTCAATTAATTAGGCAGCCGACACACACATACACACACACACATACACACACACGCAGAGATACATGCACACCCACCAAGGCTCCTCTAACTCACTGGTCTCAGAAGGAACTGATGGACCATGAGAAAGCCCTTCTACTGCTTTCCTACGTTCAGAGAGTTCTTTCCAGTGTAATCACGTCCTTCCACTGCAATCCTGAAGAGACGCTTCCCAGTCACTGTGCTCCCAGGAAAGGCTCTGGTGGTGCGGATGCTCCCACAGACAGCAGAGTGCCAGGAAGAGGGAAAGCAGCTACAAGAAACAGGCCCATCTGTCCACAAATCAGGTTGACTCTCCTCCATACTGAAGAAAGCCGTAATGCCATCTGGCAAAGTTCTGCTCCTTGAGTCTCAAGGTTCAAAGAAGAGCTGCTATTTCCTAAGTAACCAAGATTGAAGCCTCTCCCTTCCCTGCACAGGTAATTTGTGTGTGCCACACTTTCTGCGCCATGCTGGGCTCAGCAGAGGTTCTGCTGGCAGCGGGAGGCTGGAGGTATGCCTCGTCTTAGCTCGGAAAGGAAACACTTCCCTAACGTTTGCTTAACTCATTGTTCGGGTTGTGAACTTACTGCTTTTATAACCCCTCTTCAGCACGCTGCCAGGACAGTCCTTTGGGGAAAGCCCTTCCTGAGATTTTAGGTTTGATTTCTTTGTTTTTGAAGCATTTTTTTTTTTTTTGCTTTCCTAAGGCTGATCAAGGCTCTTTTTCTGAATTACACCCCTCCCCAACCCTCCCTGCCTCCCGTCCTCTAACTGTGAACAAAAACTTGGCTCTGGGATCAGTATAGTTCTTCAAAATAGGAAAAGTTTTCAGGTAGTTTGCATTTTAAAGGGATCCTCTTCTTCATGAAAAGTAATCTTTAAAAAAGAGAACTGATTCCCATTTTCAATCAATTTCAAAATGTACCATTTAGCAACTGTTGAGAAAAAAATATTTTTCTGCAGTAACTAAAACCTAGGATATGCTTAGAGAAAAAAACTTGGTTATGTGGTGTAAGATTAATCTAGTACAGTTACAATCATGGAAGTCAGACAGAAGACATTTAAAAAACAAAAACAAACAAAAAGAGCACATTTAAACTACCAGAATATTAATCATATACAACTTTGAGTCTCCTGTTAAGTCTTTCTTCATTCAAAACACTTAAATAGTTTAGTGAAGACACTAACATCATTTCCTGTGAATCCTTCTTTCTCTTGCAGCAGCACCCTTTGAACTGTCAACACACAGGACGTCTTTGGGTGAGATATTCTGAGAAGCAAAGATGAGGAAGGAGTAAGCCCTGAACTGAAGCAA